CTAGGGAATATAGAAGGGAATCGAGAATGGAGCTGGGAAAACTAGACAACAGAAAATGTGACATTGCAAAAGGTGTCGCCTCCAACTATCTCCACATGTGTCATATACTTATGTGCATGACATTTACACGCAGAGAAATAAGGTTAGCCCTTAAGCCTATATATATTTTTTAAAAAATATGCTACTTAAAAAAATTCAGAGTATGTGGAATAAATTTTAAAGCAGTTTTTTAAACATTTTTTACATTTTTAAAAATTTGTTAACATTTTTCAGCAGATTTTTAGTATGCAAATGTTTCAAAAACTTATTCAGTATTTCATTTTGCTAAAAATTTCAGACTTAAAATATTTTTATCTAGGTAAAGCTATAGATTTTTTGGGAAAGATCAACTTACAGAACATAATTTTTGACAAAAAAAAATATATAACAAAAAATTTCAAAATAAATAGCAGTAAAATAAGTATAGATACAATAAATAAATACTAAAATAAAGATAATGTAACTTATAATGAAAATGCAGTTATATATTTTTTCCAGTGCTCTCCCCTTCTTACATACATTCATCACTCACACACACTCACACACACACACACACCGATATATAGACGCACCATTAAGATCAGCGACGGTGACAAAGTGCGTCCGGTTTTAAAAAAGTGTCGGGATGCAAATGTGCAAAACGATGAAGAGTGGTGGAAGACGCGGAGGCGGCTAAAGAAGAAGAAGAAGAAGAAGAGGAGGTGGAGAAACCGATGAGAGATAGAGAGGCTATAGCCATCGAAACTGAACCGTTAGCACACATGGGGGAGAAAACAATAATGGTAACGCAATTTATGCACACAAAGAAATTAATTGTTTAAGAAAATTACAAAAATTAAAATTAAATACAATTATTTATAAAAAATATATGGTATTCAATTTGTTTCTTGATAAGAAAATCATTGTTATCAATTTTAAAGCAAAGAATACAAATATAATTATAGAAAAATCCTTTTTGTGGAATATTTTTATTGATTCAGATTCAGGCTTTCTCTTTCCTTAATTTCAGTATTTCCCTTATTTCCCAACTTTCCTAAAAATAAACCCAATTTAATTTGTAATTTTAATAGACACGTAAAGCATATATATTTTTTTAGTGTTTAGTGTTTTCCCCTCTAAAAACACAGGGAGGGAAATTTAAAAATTGAAACATGTGCAACAGGGGGAAAATAGAAATTCTTGTCCGGCCTTTTGGACCAGCTGCAACACCATAAAACGCAGCGAAAGGAAAGCAAAGTGTGAAATGGAAAAACACACATATAAAAAAAAGGTGAAAGAATAAAACATATGTTAGCCCGGGGTTGCCAGTGGAAACGCGACGTACAGTGGGTCACAAAAAACAATTTAAACTAGTTTCAGCTGATAAAAAAAATCCAGAAAAATATTGTACAATTTTTAATGACTTCAATTTCAAAAAGGTAAATAAAACAAGTATTTTTCTAAACGAAACTGAAACAAGACTTGATAAAAAATAAGTTCAAGAGCGCTTAAGAATAGCATTAAAAATTATCCGAATACAAGGAGTTAGGAACCCTTTAAAAGTTCCCTTATACAAGTTTAGCATAAATTGATTTCACTTAAATATAATAATTATGTATACAAATGTATTATATGTATATAAAATATATTATATAAATATTTTTCTCGTTTTTTCGGTTAGTTTGAATGCCATTAAAGCCTTTGCAGTTTTCATTTCTCCCCATTTAATTGCTGGAATATGAAGAAGCCCTTTTTGAATTTGAGACTTTCAGACTTTCCATAAACAAAGATCTTTTAAAGGCAATTCTAGAGAATTCTAGAGAATTGCCATGTCTGCGAAATCCCATTGTTTTTTCGCCACTGAAATTTGAAGAGGAACTGACGCCGAAAGCGATTCCCCAGAAGAAAACCGTATCATATCCATCTGGCGGCACTTGATCCACTATAAGGGAAAATAAACTTCCGTGGAATGCCACCCACAGGAAAAATCAACTAAAAAAAGAAAAGCAATCATCAAAAATTCAATTTCAAGCCAGTCAGTTGGCGGAAAGTGTTTATTTTTTCCCAAACATATCAATTGCATTTTTTTTGTTGCATTATATAACAATGAATTGTTTATGAAGCATTTTTTGTCTTTAGTTTTCTGTGCAGCCCCCTTTTTGGTACTGATTAAATTACCTTTAAACTTGTCTCAGCTAAAACGAATCTCGAAAAAAACGATAAAAAATAGCGGCTAATTCACATAAGGCGTAAATGAAACAATTGTTAGTGGAGCCGGCTAAAACAACAAATTGATTTAAGGCCATAACAACAGCTAGAGCCAGAGCCCAGCCCAAACAAATAAAAATAACAAAATGCGTAAGACAAAGCTCAAATCGAAGTGACAATGCTCTAAAATTGATTGGGTTTTCTCTCTAAAAAGGTGTTATTTTAATAGTTTAACTTGATTAACTAAATATCCGTTTACCAAATTAAAAAGCACAATGAAAATTAACAGCATTTAAATAGGGAAAAAGATTTGTTAACAGCTTATACAAAATGATTAAATTACTAAGGCTAAATTCAAGTTAATTTAAGACCAAATACTATATACTAAATATCCAGCTGTATATCTTAGTCAGATTTTGTGTTTAATTACTTTGTTGAGAAGCCTTTAAAATGCATTTACACTTCAACTTTAAGGTATTTAAGACAGTTTTCTCTTCAGGTAGTTGTTGCCCTCATTCCTCAGATAGTGTATTATATGACAAATCATATAATATTCATAACCCAAGTCAAAATGGCAAGTCGTTTTCTCGTCTTGAACTTCGTTTTGCTTGGCTTTAAGTATTTTATTTTCCGCCTTCCTTTGTTGTTTTGCCCCGTTTTTTGCTCACGTTGATCCCAGACACGTTCCACTCGCGTTTGAAATTTCGCTGGCCGAAAAAAAAAAAATAACACAAAAAAGAAAACACACAAAAAGATACCCAGTAAAAAAAGAAATAACAAGAGCGACGTAATATAAGCCTCGAACAAGTTCTCGGGTAAATAATTAAATATGTATCTCGTCTTGGTTTTTTTTTTGTATTTGCCGGTTATTTCTGTATTTAGCCAGGCTATTCATTTACTGGCCTCGCCATTCCATTCCATTCCACTCCCAGTGATGCCAATTTAAGTAATTTACATAATTTCAGTCGCTGGGAATGGGTTTTGTGGCCCAACAGGAACTACCTACTACGTAAGCCGGTAGGTAGGTCGCCCTGTTACCTATGAAGCTATGAGGCTGTGCCACACACCAGATGCAGCCAATTCACAGGCATTATTCCAGGTAATAAACACCTGGCTTTCCAATTCTATGAGCTCGCTCTCTCTCTCTATCGAGGCTTGGAAATTAATTTTAATTCATTTTGCATTGTAAAAGAATCAATTTCAATTTAATTAAGGTATATATATTAATAATACTATATGTTATTCATTCATTATACCTTTGTAACTAGTTTATTACAAGGTAATACTATAATTACCAATAGGTTTTGAGCTCCTACTATATTGTCCTAATTTTCCTTTATATATTATTTATATTTTGTTAAATTTACTACATTTTTAAATCAGTTTCAAGCAGTAAAACTTCTTAAAATATAGAAAAACCCAAATGAATACAATTTCAATCTTTTCAATGCCTAAAAAATAGTTTGTTCACTCACTTTTAAACAAATAAAAACTTAAAGTTAGCATGGAACCTCGAAATGTTCTTTATGTGATCTCATCTGATCTTACAAATTGATTCTTTAAACATTATTTTATGTATTATTATCTACCCAACTTGTGATTGTACTTATTATTATGCTAAATTATACAACCAGAAATTTGTGATGCAATGATTGTTGACAAAGCTTATTAACAAATACATTTCCCTAGATTTTTTCAACTATTTGCATAATTAAATATTAGTTTTGTACATCTTTTAAAGAGTAAATTTAGTTGGAGAACTGATTTCATTTGTTAAAAATTGTAGCCTGCTCAAGTTCAAGTTTAGGTGATTGATTTATAAATGAATATTTACAAAAAACGTGCATTAATTTAATATTTTAGTATTGCTGAAACTCAAAGTTCAATGTGGAGCGTGTGGATTGCCTCTCTCTATTTTCCTATTGGAAATTTGGAACGCATTGAACGAGTGCATCTCTGGTGTGGACTGCATTCGTTGGAGTTCGGAGTTCATTATCTTTGTTGTTGCAAAAATTAAATAAACTCAGACTGGAACACAACATCAGAGAGAAAGAAGGAAAAGAAAGAAAGGCAAAGGAAACGCGCAAACTGAACTTTCGCAACTCCTCAGCTTAACAACCCCCCTCCCCCTTCCGCCCATGCAACTGACCCACTCGCTTGAGAATCTCTCGCTCTCCCTCTACCCATCTCCCTTTGCCCCGCCTCCCCATCTCTGTCGCTCTCGTCTGAGCAACTTTTTATGGAAACCGGCTAAATTCCATTTGATTTGGAAGTCGTTGGGAAAAGAGCCGCAAAGGAGAGCCTTGTCTTCTTCTTTGCCAGTTGCAGTTTGCCTTTTCTTTTCTTTCTTCCCTAAACAGTGAGAAAATGTTGGGAATAAAAGCTGAAAACTCAAACTAATTACACTAGAATTTCTTTGAAAAATTTGTACAAATTCTTTTTAAAGGATTTTCATAAAGATAAACTCATCTAGTTTGATTTTTACTACTTCATCTCTTCCTATTTGAGATTTCTTTTGGTGTGCTTTTCTTGCCGCATTTCACTCGACGTCGGCAGCGAAGCCGGCTGCGGCGACAGCAACGGTTTCTTAAGCATCTCTGTCAAGGGCGTTGGGCTTATGTTTTTCTTATTTTTTGTCTCTTTCCAAAGGGAGAAACGCCATCATAAGTTGTATAAAAATTGCCTAATATCTCACTGCTCACCGGGACTTATTCCAAATTATAATTAAATGCATGCAACTATGAATAATAAAGAGAAAAAAAGTTAATGCATACCTTCTCCTACGTCACTGACGCCCTCAACTGTTGCTGCTGCTGCTGCTGCTTGCGTTTGTTTTTGTTTTTCTTTCTTCAGCTCCTGTGTTCCGTTGTTCCTTGCGCCGCCGCCGTGTTGATTTTTGTTTGCACCAAAAACGCGTGTGTTTGTTGTTGTTTTATTTCGACAAATTCTCGATCAAATTTGCATCCAATAGTAATAACAACAATGCTAGTAACAAGAAAAAAAAGCCGCGAGCAAACAAACAATCACTCACACTCACACACACACAAACTCTGGTACACGCACACCGATGCGCGAAACGAGTTATTTGCTGCACACAAAAACAAAAAAAAGGAAACCGCAAGTCGCAACCAAGGATGATGATGATGAGCGATTTGGTGCAACACTTTTCGCAGCCGCCCGCATTATCGGTGAATAGTGGCAAACAGCGCGGACACAGGTGAGAAACGGGGAAAGCAGACAGCTAGGTAGTTTGGGCGCAAAAAAGGTAAATAAAAAAACGAGCGATCCGCGACGCGACCGTCTTTGAAATTTTGTTTTTGCAGTGTGGCTACGCGGTTTTTTGTTTATAATACCGAAGACTCAGTGCAGAGAGAGGGGGATTTTGCCATCCGTGGCAGCTGGTCACACTGACGTTATTAACATTTTACATTTTACTTATACACGTTTACAGAACCGTTTTACACTAGTAAAGATAATTCAAAAAAGTACCGGGCTTTATCTTAAATTTGATGAAAATCTGTTAGAAACTGAAATAGTTATAATTATTAATTGTATTAATTTTAATTTTTTTTTTTCTTTTGTCTATTTTTATAACGGATCTGTCTCTCTTTTTGTGTTGAAGCAGCTTGCAACACTGGTGCAAACTTCAAAAAAGATTGCAGTCGCTCATCGCTAGGAATAACTGATAAAAACGTTCAGTGCTTTTGCTTTTATGTCAATAAAACAATAAGAACTTAAAGAAAAAAAGTCTGAGCAATGCCGGTAAGTTGGGAGGAGTCCCAGAAAGATGAGTAATTATTCTGATTAATTGTATTCCTTTGCATATAGGCCTACCACTCGGAAATCGTAGAGTTCCATGGAACAGTGGGCAATATGGCAATTTTACCATTACGCACCCAAGTCCGGGGACCAGCGCCGAACGTTGATATAGCCAACGATATCATCGATGAATCATTGTACTATTGGAAATCAAATATATTCTTTAGTACATACGAAGTTAAGGTTGGTATTTTGAAGAATATAGTTTACAGTGGAGAAAAATATTTATATGAAAAAATGTACTTGAAAAAATGTTATGCAGAAAAGTGACTCATAAAAAAATTATACAGAATAATGGGTTGAAAATATATGCAAATTTAATATTTGTTTAATAATAATAATAACCGAAATAGTAGAGAATTTTAGGAATTAAAGCTTAGCTTACTTTTATCTTAGCTTTTCTTATCTCAAAACTCTAAAAACAAATTTAAAAAAATAAATAGAGTTAGTTTTATTAATTCAAGCATTATTTATAGTTTTTAGAATTGTATTTCGTATGTGCAAAATTTAATCAAAGTGGCTAGAATGAAAAAACAGGGCTAAAATGTTTATTATTTTATTAAATATATTAGAAAAAACCTAAGAATGAAAATATATATATATATTTAATTCATTAAAAGGCTATAGTTAGCCACAAAATTGTTTACATTCTATGCTCACGAGTCAGATTCTTAGGTAATACTGATTTAAAATTAATCAAGAATTTGATATTCAGATTTCTAAGCCTCAATCTTCTTACTAAAAAAAACTCCATAAAAATTATAATAAAATTTTGATTCTACTTATAATTTAGGATAACACTTTAGTGAAGATTTTCAAGTCTCAATTAATTAATTATTAATCATTGGAAGAACATTTTAGAATATTGCAGACGTTTTCCGGTATAACTTAATTATGTATAATAGTATTTTTTATAATATGTATTATTAATAATTATTTACTGAACTTATAGGTGTATAGTATGTAGTGACCCGATTTTCTTTGTGTATTTTTTGTTTGTTTTACATTTCTTCTGCATATGCATTTATCACCACATAATATATACTATATACTATATTTATTCCCTATCTAATCACAGTCGGAAGTGGACCGTGTTCTTATCTACATAACGTTGTACATAACCGAATGTTTGAAGCGCTTGACTCGCTGCTCAAGCAAGGCCCTGGGTCAGCAGGAGCTCTACACTCTGGCCATATCACGTTTCGATCTGCCAGGTGATCCGGGATTCCCCCTGAACTCCATATATACACGTCCCGAGGATCCGGAAAAGATGCGTCAGTACATACTCCAGTTGCGCCAAGAGACGGGTCTCCGGGTGCTCGAAAAGGTCTTCAATACGCCAGATGACAGGCCCAGCAAATGGTGGACCTGTTTCGCCAAGAAGAAGTTTATGGGAAAAAGCTTGACGGGACCGGGAATGTGAGATATCCTTCAAGGAGGAAACTAAATTTTGTGTTCAGTATCACTTATAAAAAGACTTGTTTTTTTTTATCGAAACCCAACAAGATTCACATTTTTATGAGCTTATTTTTTTACAAAACTTTATTACTTTAGTATTTTCAAATAAATTAAAAAATGTAATTAAAAATGGTTAATTTCTTGGATAAAATCTTTTATTAGAATACTCATAATACAAAATAAAGTCAGCCATCAAGCAAGCAAGCTTCTTTAAAAGCACTTTTTTAGTTTAGACAATTTGATTTTTTTTTTAAAGTATAACATTACAAATTTAATAATAAAATCTATTTGTATTTGATTAAATCAATATACAGCATAAAAGTATAAGAATGTAGAGTATGTGAATGTTAAAATATATTTTCTGAGTTTAAAAGAACTTTGCACATTAAACTTACAGCAAACTTTTGAGGGTTTAATTAAAGCTAATTGATATAACAATTACAAAATATATATATATTTGACTTAAAACATTACACAGATTATTATTATTATTTATGCCCAGTTTTAAAATCATTTATTAAAATTGTTTTCTTTTTTTGTTTGCAAATCAATAATAGTTCTCATTTTTCTCTTCTTTTTGAAAGCCAATTAACAATTCATTTAAACATAAACAAATGCACAGCTTAAAACTAATAACAACAAATAGAAAAAAAAATATGTAGGAATGAAAAAATACACAATATATATATAGTACAAACTAGCCTTAGAATTAACAGTAGAGCGTGGCAACGCATTCACATACAGTAAGCATTCGGTGACAGACAGCATTATTTACACACAGACAAAAAAAAAAGGAATAATAACTTATATCCTAAAACCTATTTGAACTCCTTGACAATCTCCACAATCGATTGATATGTTCCGGTCACAATACCCAATACGGCCACCGTCAGGATGGCAATGTTTTTGATATAAGAAAACACTCCCAATCCTTTGGGCACCTGAGCACGGATCACGAAATCGATCAGCACCGGGATCACAAAGGCCAAACAGGTGGAGCACAAGGCACCGATCAGAGAGATGAATAGATTTAGTTTGGGAACGACCAGCGCAACGCCAACTGAAAGTAGAGGGATATAGAGATATAGGAATTAATATAGGATAAAAAATGTAAATTCAAAAAGATGTTTTAACCTTTAATGCATTGGTTTTTAATATTTTTGAAATTTTTAACATATCAAATAATAAGGTATTTTTGAAACTTCCTTTTGATATGCATCCATATAGGGATAAAGAACATTCCAAAAAGTTGTATCAATGTTTTAACTTTTAATGTATTTGTTTTCACTATTTAAATATCAGAATATTTCAAATCTTAAGGTATTTTTGAAACTATGTCGTATATAATATCAAAAACTTTCTTTTGATATGAATCCATATTTGGAAACGAAATAAAGAACAGTTTTTGAAGTAAATATAAATATTGTATCATAAAATTATATATTTTTGTATACTTCTACTACTTATATATCAAACTTTATGATATTTTCTATACGTATTTCTTGTAGTACCTTTAAGGCTTTATATAATTAAATAAATAATAAATTAAGCTCAGACTCACATGTCATCATCACCATTATAAATCGCAGGCACACTTGCAAGGTTATGGGATATTTTTGGGCACAATTGTTGCTCCTCTTAAGTGGTGGCCAAATGATCTTAATCATCACAAAGAATTGAATGGGATAGCCCAAAAGACGCCCAAAGCAGCAACAACTTTCACCACCTGCGAAAAACTAGAAAAAGGGAGTTTCAATTTAATTTAATGAATAAATAAGTAATAATTAATGAGAAACTCACACTTCCTCTACCACCAGATTCAGCGTTATACTCCCGGCCACATCCTCGCCCCATCGCACATAGCTCACAAATCCCGTGAAGATAAACAGGGCCGTGGTTAAGAACATCGTAGAGTTAAGGACCCCAAATCGGCTGCTAAAGTCCTCCGGTTTCCTCATCGAATTCCTCAGTGGCAGGATCAGAGCAATCCCCTCGTAGGAGAACAGAGCAGTGCCAAAGAACAACGCCAACTGGGATCCATTGGTGAAGAGATTCCTCTCCGAGATCGATGGCATGGGGCCATCCGAGAAGGCAATCGTTAACGTGGAGATCAGGCCAAAGAGTAGAGCCACGTTGGCAAAGGCAGACACTGGCGAAATATACTTCAAATTGGTCATCAGCGAAGGTATCATGGCTGGAAGCAAGGTGATCAGCATCGCCATGCTCATGCTGATGTCAATGCCATTCTGGTGAAAAACCTAAAAGATTGGGAACATTTTCATTTATATTTAATTGGGAAAACTTCAATATATATTGTATATTTCACCTGATGCAGATTCTCCGTGATGAACACAAAGTAAATGGCACAGAATCCAAACTGGGTGACGCAGAGGAACATCTCCACAACGAGCTTCATGAATCGCGACATTCGTCTCAAGGGCCTTGGTCCATATTCGAAGCACTTTTCCACTGTCTCCGGATAATCGAGGAAATCCACTCCCGGCGTTCGTTCCACGGCTAAAACAGAGCCCCGTATAAGCATCCGTTCGCAATGGACGCACATCACCGCAATGATGGGCAGCAGGATGGTGGCACCAGCCAATCCTCCATTCTTGAAGCAATCTCCCATGGCAAAGAGTCCAGCACCGACGCTTCCCTTGAACAGATGAGTGGCTGCCTCCAAGGCGCTGGTCTCGTGACCACGTCGCTTTACCGCTCCACCGCCATTCTCCTCATCGCCGGTGCCAGCCTCCTGCTGCTTCTCCAGATTCTTGTCCAGCTTAATGCTGGTGATCTCCAGTGTCCTGCCCATGTCGCCACCTGATTCTCCGGATTCTATAGCCTTTAGTTCGTTGCGTTGCTGCTGCTGCTGCTGCTGCTGCTGGTGTTGCTTCTGCGGGATTAAATGGAAAATTTTCAAAACTCGAAACTTGGGCTTTTGGATGTGCTCTCTCCCTCTGGGGTTCCTGGGCTACTGTTTCGGCGAAAGCTTTAACGGTACTTGCGGCGGTGGAGAGATTTACCGGTCGAAGAACCAAAAATAAACCCCTTAGCTTTAAGTCTCTCTTGATCTCTTGTGCCTCTCTCTTTCCAACAATGTTATAGGTTTTAACCCTAGAAAGCTCAGCCTTTAGATTTCGTTTAAGTATTTATAATTACTAAAATTTAATAATAAATAATTTTCAAAAATGTAGAAGGATAATTTAATACTTTTTTAATAATGATCTATTTTAAGGAAATAAGGGATTTATAAAAGGATAATTATAATTATTTAAAGAATAAATAAGGAAGTTTCGAAAATAAATACAATTAACCCCATAAAAACTATAAATTTATTTATTATTATTATTATTTTATTATATTTTTCACAGAAATATTTCAACAGTCCTAGGCATATTTTGTACTCTGCTTTTATTAAATACTAACTATTAAATATTATTTTAAATCAAATTATTATAAAGGCTTTCCCCAAACCTACAGAGATTGGTTAAAACCAGAAACACCTTCAATCATACATAAATATTTCATTCATAGAAATGGCTAGAGCATTGAAAACATGTTAATTAATTCAATTAGGTAGCACTGAATGCTAATTGAATTTATTTAATTCATTAATTCTGATAGAGCATTTCGATTAGTTTCATATCAATGTCAGAGACCTCATAAAAGATGAGTAAAGTATGAAGGAAATTTAAACAAGAAAATAAACTAACTTCGGTAAGCCGAAATTTATATACTCTTACAGTTTAAAATAAAATTAAAAGATCGTGTCAAAGATATTTGAATTTTTTTAATGGATTCTTATAGTAATTTTATATGACAAAATCAAATTTTTAAAAACTCATAACTAAGCCAAAAATGCATTAATTTTAATTCGGAAAAAAGTTCTATGTTAGTTTTTATTAGATTAATAAATCTGCATACCCAAAGTAAAATTTAAAAAAATGAAAATTTTTGCAATTTTTTTTAAATTCTAAAGATGTAAAAATAACGATAAAATATCGGAAAATTTTGAAAAAAATTCATTTTTGTCGGACATAGCTAGATCGATCCGGCTTTTCATGCTGATCAAGAATATATATGATTTATAGGGTCGGAAATGACTCCTTCACTTAGTTTTAGGCTTCTGACTAAAATTATAATACCCAGAAAGGGTATAAAAAAGTGATACAATTAGAATACTAAACACACTGTAACAAGTTAAAAAATTACCATAATATAAATATAATAAATGTACTAAATAAACAGTACAGAAATGAATAAATCAAATGCTTATTGCTAGTTATAGAAATAATAATTAGAGTCAGAGACAACAAAAAAATAAACTATAACTAAAAAGAAAACACTTTTAGCAAACCGGGAAGTCTCTCTCTCTTTCTCTATCACTATCTCTGTCTCAATTAACCCGTCAAGGCCATAACACTCAATTATTCAAACTATTCGAATGGCATGAGTTGGCTTCAAGTGACGCCACAAATTCCACAGCCTTTAGCCAATCGGTTGCACATTTAAATCCATCGGATAGATAAGCACTACGACTAAGGTGTGTGATTACCGATTGATAAATATATATGTATATATATATATGATATGTCGCGGATAAATATTTATTGCAGTGTGTCCGGTGTCAGATATCGGAGAATATAGGACCGTTCGCGGCAAGAACTCAAGTCAGACTCAATGCTCGAGTTGGCCAACAGAAGCGAATAGCAAAAATCGAGTACAGAAAATAGTAAAATAGCAAAATGGCAAACTATAGCGAGGCAAAAATTTGAAAAGCAAAATAATTAAAAAGCGATCGTGGGCGATGAGTGTATGTGTGAGTGTTCTGAGTGTTCTGAGTGTCTCTCTACCCAGAGGTAGTGCAGCGAAAAAGTGCATAGCATAGCATAGTTAACCCCATGCACCGGATACACGTACTATTCTTTATGGTTTATTTTTCACTACTGATAGTATTTAAGGGTTTTTTAAGTTCTAAATAAAATATATAAGTTGAAACCATAATAATCGAGCATTTGTACTACATATTACTGGCATGTATTGAAAATTAAAAGAAAAAATTGAAATCTACATCTTTAAAAAATTTTAATTAAACTTTTTTTATCGATATTTTTCGATATTTTAAAGAATTTGAAGGACTCCAATGATCTTTAAAAAAAACTTTATATACGATATAAAAGGATAAGAAAAGAGTGAGATATTTTTGTGCAAATATCACTGTGCATATATACTCGATATATATCTAAAAAAAATTAATCTACATTTAAAAGAACATCAATAAATTCATAGAAATGTTACCATTTTTAAGAACCCCTCGGGCAAGTTTAGTGTTAAGAAGCGGGGGTGATAGCTTTGTATTCACTATTATTATAGAAAATTTATACTTTTGCAAGCTGAATCAATCACTTTCGCTTAAATCATATTAGAATTATTCACACAGGTGTGGAAAACAGCTTTTAAATACATTAAACCGAGTGGGAGACATAGCAGGAAGCCAGTCATCGATAAACGAACGATTGGGGAGAATCTATATCAAATTAATAATATGATATATAGTCATTTAGTCATTCTAGTTCTCAAAAATAAAACAAAAAATTTTAACTTTGGTTACAAATTAAGCGAAAATAATTTAGTTTCCACTGAGCACGTAATTTTTGATATCCCAAGAATTCAGTTTCAACTTTAAACTTAAAGAATTTGTTCTGAATAATCAAATACATATTCGTGTTATGAAGCATTTTTAAAATTAATTCTACATTATAAATAAATAAAAACTTAATACACATAAAAATTCCCTTAAGCCTAAATTCTTTTCAAAGTATATAAATTTATAAGCCAGCAGATCACGATTACAGATTTTATCAAGAGCGTGATTAATGCAAATTAATGTAATTAATTGTTGCACGTGTAACTGAAAAACTAGAATTAAATCAAACTTAAGTAAGAGTAATTACTATATATAAAACAGACTAGAATAGATACACATTTATGGTCAGACAAATTAATGAAAGAAAACCATTTGTTGCAACGACAGATGTTTATGGCCACTAAAAAAAATGTTTGCTTTTCTTCATTAATTTTTATTTTCACAGTATTTGAATCACAGACAAATAAAAATCCAGCCTTTACTGTCTGTAAAAATGGCAATTTGTATTTTATGCAAGCATTTCCATGTCCATTAACTGATGTAATTAAATTGGGTTTAACTATTTACTATTTACAATCACTGCCAAAATATCTCAATTCGCGTTGTTTTGTTTTCAAATAAATAAAACGTTCGCGTTTTAATTAGTTTTTTTTTAAACTATTATCTACGGTTAATAAAAATGTTACAACTTAATTAGAAAACTGAAAGAGTAGCCAAAGTTATAATACCCTTGATGGGTTTTTAATGAAGAATATTGGGTTTAAAATATTAAATTAAATTTTGTTTTATGTTATAATTAAATTGGTTTGATATTTCAAAAAGATTATGGATTAATTCCTATAACATATTTTTAATACTATAAAAAAGAGTATAAGAAACCTGAAAATAAATTGTAGAATAATTAAATGTATATTGATATCTCTCACGTTATTTGAACAATGACACTTACTATGTATTTATATATAATTTACTCATTAATTTATTTATACAAAAATTAATTTCATGCTAATATTTATATATAATTATATTATATTATTTATTTAACGCTAGAACCCTTAACAAACTTATGTCGTAGCATTGTTTATAATTTCGATATGAAATTCATTTTTTCCAAAGATTGTTGACCAATTATGGGCTGCCTGAATGTTGTCATTTCTCTCATTCAAAAGTTAGTTCATTTATTTATTTATTTTTCCCACTGAGACTGCGTCACAACAATTATACTACACTGAGAGAAAAATAAGTAAAAAGAAAACAGGGCATTCCGTTCCAGCAGGAAGTGGTTTAATCGAGTTCAAGGATCCGGTTGCGTTTTGGAATTTGGCTTTCAGCGAAATGTGGAATTTCCTGGCACGTGCCCTGCCATCGAATCGAATTTTTTGTCGTAGCACAAAGCACAATAAAAAATGCAAAAATAAAAATATTAAAAATAAAATGTAAAGCGCACCGCATTCGTGATCGTTACACCTGCTCTCGGCCCCCTTTGCTGCCATTAAGAACGCATGGAAATTTACCGCCTTGATTGAAGAAGCGCCAGTTAAATGCAATTCACGGAACGGAATCAAAATTTCCCCCGTCCGGAGCTGCATCTCACTTCTGCCAATCAATAACGACCAAATCAATAGGCCAGGGAACGAACCGATCTTGTCCAGCGATCGATTGATCGATGTTTACGGAATTCAGCAATTGGATTATGTAAGGTTACTGCGAACAACAAATATCACTGAGATTCATAACAAAAACAAACAGGGGCGTCGTTAGGATAACAAAGTATATGAATTGTTAAAAAATATTTATATATTTAATATAATTTTTATAGATTTTAAATATTAAATAGTAAAAACTTTTTCATAGAGGCAACAGATATAAAACTCTAGACTTAAAGTCTCTGTCACTAGGAAGTTATTTATAGTCCTTTGTTGACTTTAAAATATTGTATTAAGTCTTTTCAAATATTTATTTAAAAATAAGTAAACTTAAAAAAAAAAACAACGAATTTTTAGAGCTTCTTTGAGTGAATTATACATTGCATTAAATAAAACATTTTCGATTAATTATTCAAGTTTTAATGTTTCCCTTTACTCTAGAGGTGTCACTTTATATTTCAATTTTCAGATCTTCATTGTCAATTTAATATTAAATAATATAAATATTTAATAATTCTTAGTATTTAGTCACAATATATATATTAAATTAAACCCCCTTGGGAGGCACGTCCCAGTTTTCCGGTATGCATATCTCAAGACATCGATTCCATGCAGTTCCATCGTTGAAGTTGAAGGTCAATACCGAAACGATTTCGATTGGATTGATTTGCTTCGACTGGAATCGGATCGGATCGATTTGGATCGAATCAGATGGGATTAGATTAGATTAGTGTAATTGCCGTACATGGAGAAAGAGAACAAGATTAACCAGTTTTCGCTAGATGAAAACGAAAGTTAGAGTGTATATATGCACATGGCAAACTATTTGTGGATTCTTATTACGGTTTTGACGATTAAATTCGAATCGGGGTCAATGTTAATGCTAATTCGGAGTATTAATTCAATTTTGTTAAACACGTTTCGCCACATAATTAGTATTCACATCATATTTTATGACAAAACAATGAAGATTTCGCATTGAAGTTGAAGTTTAACTACCTTAGCTGGATGCGATGAGAAGAGCAGCGAAGGGCGGTGATATGATGACCAGCTTAAGTAGATACCATGAGAAGAGCAGATGAGGTGAGATGGTGTGACGTCATAGTTCCAAATATCCATATGCCTATTTTTGTATTGAGCTGAGCTTAAGTGGCACCCATGAGAAGCGCAGAGGAGGGCGGTAGTATTTTTTCGTAGTCCGGAATCTGCATAGGCCTCCTTTGGTATTTAGCTGGGCTGACGTGGCATCCATGAGATGAGCAGATGAGGGTGATAATATGCATTGTCATAGTCCGGAATCTCCATAGGCATCCATGAGATGAGTAGATGAGGGCGAAGGCGTGACGTCATAGGAATCTTCATAGCCATATTTTGATATTCAGCTGAGCTTAAGTGGCACCCATGAGAATCGCAGAGGAGGGCGGTAGTATTTTTTCGTAGTCCAAAATCTCCATAGGCCTCCTTTGGTATCCAGCCGAGATGAAGTGGCATCCATGAGATGAGCAGATGAGCAGATGAGGGTGATAATATGCATCGTCATAGTCCGGAATCTCCATAGGCGTCCATGAGATGAGTTGATGAGGGCGAAGGCGTGACGTCATAGGAATCTTCATAGCCATATTTTGATATTCAGCTGAGCTTAAGTGGCACCCATGAGAATCGCAGAGGAGGGCGATATTATTAGAGCCCTCCTCAGCGATTCTCATACATGCCACTTAAGCACGCCTGGGTACCATGATAATCAAAGTGAAAAGTGAAATTGTGACGTCACAACTAGGAATCTCCAACGGCCTCCGCAGCGCTTCTCATGGTATACACTTCATCTTACGTGGCTATTCGGTGCTTGTCATAAAATTATAATTGAGACTGTAAGTTAATTTAAATGTAACCAATTATCATCCCAATTATATGCATATATCAATTTATGTCAAGTGACGTCAAAACAAACGTCCCATTGTTTATTCTCACTTAATATCGATAAAAAAATAATCAATTATAATAAGTAAAATGCGCTTCACGCTCACTAAAGACACAATACAAGGCACTTAAAAATATACACTCCATTATTTTCCATACGGAATAAATTCGCATATTTATAAATATATATTCTTTAGTTAGTTATGTCAATTTGTTAGGGATATATTAAAAACCTGCTCATTTTGGGTATATAAATGATGATCATGGTGGCACATGGGATTATGGATGATACTGATGCGAATCTATATTAATTCATATAAAATGTTTTATATAGATAATATCTTTCTTTTTCAATGTCCTGTGCTGTCTCTGTGATGTCTTTCTCTTTGGCAACCTTTATGAACCTCAGATATTTATGGCTTTGTTTATTTCTTCTTAGCCTGATAATGATCCTGATGCTATTCCATGTGATGATCCTGATTGTGTTCCTGATGATAATCCCTTGCTGAAGACCTGGAGCTTCATCCTTGGCTACTCCATCTAGTGCACCTCCTCTTCCCCAAAGTGCTTGATAATCTGCTTGAGGCTCTCGTAGGATCCCGTGAAGAAGCCCAACAGTGCCAGCACCAAGATGACCAAGTTCTTCACACAAATCAAAACTCCAGGCCCCTTATTGGGCTCACTCCTTGCTATCAACTCGATGACGGGTGGAAAGACCAAGGCCAAGGCCGTCGAACAGAGAGCTCCAATTAATGAGATGAAGAGTCCCAAAGCCGGAACCAGCTCAGCAATTGCAACTGCAGGATTTCTTTGTATCAGAAACGGATCTTCACTGCTTCACTCGTTCCCATTACTTACGCGTAATGAGCACCATGAAAGTGCGAAAGCCCAGCTCACCGGGCAAGGATCGTCCTTCGATGCGGCACATTTGCTTCACACTGGGCCACATAATCTGAATGGCCACAAAGAATTGGAGGGGATAACCCAAGAGGACTCCGGTGGAGACCATCATCTTGACTGTCTGGGCCAGACTATGTAGATGAAAAACAGGACTTTGAGATGCCAAACCAAATGTATAAAACTCCAAACTCCACTCACATGGTATTCCCTAAATTGAGGGTAAGACTGCCGCCCACCTGTTCGCCCCATTTCATGTAACCCACGGATCCGGCAAACATGAACATTACGGTGACAAGGAACATGCCCACATTGAGCACACCGAGAGTACTCTCAAACTGGCGTGGCTTGCGCATGGAATTCTTCAGCGGCATCACCAGGGCGATGCCTTCGAAGGCAAAGATGGCGGTGCCGAAGAAGAGAGCCAGCTTGGGGCCATTCGTCCAGAGGGCGCGTTCCCTAATCTCCGGTAATCCATCCCTGAGTGCATAATACAGGGTAATGCCCAGGCCAAGGACCATACAAACATTGGCAAACAGCGACACGGGAGTGAGCCACTTGAGGTTTGTGATCAGACAGCTGAGGAGGACGGGAACAAAGGCCATCAGCATCACCAGATGGACATCCATGCCAATGTCATAGGCTTTCAGGATCTTCGCAGAAAAAAAACACGTAATTCCAGGTAGTCACGATAACATTTCATCCTCCTGCTTTCAACTCACACACTCACCTGTTTCAGATTCGTGCTGATGAATACAAAGTAGATGCAACAGAAACCCAGTTGGGTCACACATATGAATACATTCACCAGACGACCCATGGTCCTTGACCAACTCCTCAGCTTGGATGGACCATTCTCGAAGCATCGCTCCACGGTCACGGCATAATCCGAACACACTGCCTCCCCACGGAGGTCACGCATCTTCTTGGAGCAGGTTATCAGGACATGCTGGCAGTGGATGCATACCATCGCTATCACCATGGTCAGGATTGGAGCTACCACTAGGCCACCGTTTTTGAAGGCATCACCCATGGCAAATAAACCGGGTCCAAGGTTTCCCTTGAACAGATGCACAATCGTCTCCAGGTAGCTTGAACAACACATTTTGACAGGTGAGGTGCGGGTTCCCTTTTATGTTAGTTTGAGTGATTTGGATTTGGGTTAAAGCTGGGATTCAGGAGCGAATTTAGATTGGATATGGGATTCTATCAACCCTTCATGGGGTTTGGGTTTCATTTGATTATTAGTAGGTTTTCCAATTTTGGGAAGGGATTAAAGCTGGGATTATGAAGCCAAGTTATTTGTCAATCCTTCAAAAGTAAATTTTGGGGGTTTATGTTTTAAGGATAAACTAGGCTAGGAGTTGATTTCCTTGGTAGTTAATTAGTATCAATCGATGATTAGTAGGTTTTCCGATGTTTGAATAGGTTAAAGTTGGGATTCAGAAGCGGAGTTAGATTGGATAAGGGTTTGGGTTTAATTTGATTATTAGTAGATTTTCCAATTTTGGGAAGGGATTAAAGCTGGGATCATGAGGTCAAGTTAGTTGGAGGAAGCTTGCTTTCATTGTAGTTCATTTGTTAATCCTTTATAAGTAAATTTCGGGGTTTAGGTTTAAGGAGTTGATTTCCTTGGTAGTTAATTAGTATCAATTGATGATTAGTAGATTTTCCGATGTTTGAATAGGTTAAAGTTGGGATTCAGAAGCGGAGTTAGATCAGGTACAGGATTTCAGGGTTATATGTTGACTTTGGGGATCATAAGATGAAATTATAGATGGTATTAAGTTGCATTGTATATACAGTTTGAGATGTAATTCAGTTTTTTGGTAACTAAACTAATTGTTAGTTTATAGATTAGACAAATAATTGATTTTCAATACAATAAAGCATGGTTATTAAGGGGTCTTCAGGTAATTCGATGTGATAGAACATGGTTATTAAAGGGTTATCCGTGTTATAGGCCATGCAGGTTAGTGGGTATAATGATTAGTAGTAGGTTTATTGGTTAATAGGTTTGTTGGTTAGTGGATTTATTGGTTATCAAGTTTGTTGATTAGTAGGTTTGGAGGTTGTTTCTGGGTTATCCAATGTCAGGCAGGAGATGGATGGGAAACAGTTACAATTTATTATTAAATGCGATTATTGAGGGGTTATCCAGGTTATAAGCCATGCAGGTTAGTAGGTTTTAGGTTAGTTAAGGTTAGGAAGTAGGATATTTGGTGTTTAGGGTTATCCAATGAAGGGTTTGCATTTGGTTAAATGTTTTACAATCACATTTAAATTAATATCATGCCTTTCCTTAGTATATGTTAGTGTTTAACCATTAGTAATACTTCTTGTAATCATTATATATCATGGCTGTATCAAGGATACCTTGTGGGTGGATGATAAGCCTCATCGTGTGCCTCCTTGCGATTGGACTTGTCTGTGCCATTAACATCTCCTCGGCCTGCTTCCGCTGATTCCTGATTCTTGGCCACCGGATGACCTTGATGTGCCTGAGATGGCGTCCATGGTGTGATTATTGCAATTCCAAAAGAAACAAAAACAAAGGCTTAAAAATAACATTGTTTCACTTGATTTGCTATCTCTCCCTCAGTCAACCTTTTGTCGGCTGATTTTCAATTGCCTTGAATGCTCTTCAGGTTGTCAATCTTCATGATCAAAAACTGGAAAAGCGGAGAGGATCTTATCGAAAACGGGGGGAATCACAGATCACAGATCTCGCGTGCATACCTAAATAAATATATATGTTATATACATATATATATGTATATATGCTATTATAAATCCCACTGTGGGATTTCCAACTGATCAAACCGGATGGAAAAGTTCCAAAGATATGAATAGTTGAAGGAGAGCTATAAATTATATCATGACAGTGACTAAATCAGAGCCAATTAAACGGATTCATAAAAGCCAAATCAAGCACTATCATCACTAGACTAGCTGATGTATCTATTCAAACAATACTATAATATATGCTATAGTATAGATAGAGATATAGATATAGATAGATGTCGACGGCTAGATAAGTGGCCTTTCGATGTGACACCCGAACGTCTGCCAAACCAGACGGAAAGATAGAAGGGACAGACTATATAGACTATATCTATAGGTATATCACGTGTGTCTACGGTTCAATAGGTTTAATTGAAAATTCTAGAGATAACAACACTTGTAATTGTTTTAAATTATATTCGTTCAATATATTTGATAGTTCTGGAATTTAGTCTAGACTTAAATGAACTCTAAATAAAATACCTTCTAACCAGAATATATAAATTAATATATACCTGATAGCTAAAACCCTAAAATCCCCCATTGACTTCGATTTCCATTAAACGTGCTTTATTATATGATCTTCCGGTGCATCATATAATAAATATTATTTGGCATTGTAATTTATGAACAGCAAAAAACTCACGTCCATTGAAAACATCGCTATCGTTGGAAGTTATAACTGAAGGAATATATATATATATGATATATAATGTGTAAATTGAGATGGATGGGAGCTGTGATTTATGGGCCACTTCAATGTACCACTTCAGGTACCCATCTGTGTTGCCAGCCACTATATAGTCATAGTTTATAGAGTAGTATATCTCTCAGGATCTACTCCTATCCCCTAACAAGTTGAGATAAGGAAACCCATTGAATCTCAAGTGTTATAAATAATGAGTGAACTTATCGAAAAATTTGATTTTGCTTTCGCTGCTAAACATTTTCGAGTCTCGTTTCCGCTTTTCAAATATGTACTTTTGTTAAGATTACTGTCCCACATGTCGTATACGCAATATATACTGGAGGACATGGCGCCGTTGACGTATACGTAATATACATTTATATATATATATATATATATTTTTTTTTTCAGTGTTGAAACCTTGTGTAAATCCAGACAATGATTTTTGTTTGGTTTTCATTTTCATAGCGCTTATCGGCAGCCAAAAGCAGTTAAAACAAAGTATAAATTATTATTATCGTGCACTAGAAACGAGAGTGGGTACTTTGATTATGGAAATATGTGGGTTCTTGAGTTTTGTAATTAATGGAAAATATTTTTTTGCCTGCTGTAGAGATGGAAGATTAAACTATGGGATTTTTTGTTATCTAAAAAAATGTTTTTAAGGGTCTGGAAAATTACTAAATTAATTTAACTGAGCTTACTTTTTGACCTTTGCTAGGGGTTAAATTAAAACATTTTTCTGATCCTTATAATTTAAAAAACAAGCTTTAAATAGAAAAACGTGAAAATTGTATTGTAAAAAGGAATTTTATTTTGAAAATTAGAAATATAAATTAAAGTAGTCTACTTTTTGGCGTTTGCTTGGTAGAGATAGTATTGAACTCTTTCCTGAACTTTAAAATTAAGTAAACAAGCTGTAATTTAATATCTGATCAGTAATTCATTGAGCAAATATTTAAATTAAATATTTTCCACCTTGAAAATATATATTTCTTCCATATTATATTTATAATTTTTTAATACCCTTGATCCATAAACTATAATCTAGATTCTAGGCCAAAGTTGTACCACTAAAAATCAACATTAGTGACAGATAACACCAGATAGAACAGTCCTCAAGTGCGGGATGTACAGTACATACACTTTTCGCCCCCTCCTGTCCCCTCCCCCCACCTGTCCCCTTCTGTCCCCTCCCTTAACCCATGGTAAACCATTGGCAAACCGTCAAGAGAGAGACAGACAGAGAAAGAGAGAGAGTCGCACTGATATTATTTATGTTCGGTCTCGTTTAGTGCTTGTTCTTTCTATATTTTTATTTTATTCTTGTTTTTTTTTTTTTTTTTTTTGCTCTCGAATTCAACAATATCTTTGAGTGGAAAATTTTCCATGGCGTAGTTGGTGGTCAGTGGTTGAAATTCTTTACTTCGAGGGTTCACTGCACTGGACACCAGCAAGAAAAATACAAATTTCTCTTTTATGAATGTTGCCGGAAACCTGACAAGCTCGAAAGGGAACCTTAATTGGCCTTTATTGACAAAGCTTTTGTGTGTGCTTTCTTTCGAGAATAAAAATGAGTCCCTCTCCATTTCGAAATAAATACTTTTTTTAATTAATAATATGATTTTTGTAATAAAAGTTCAATAAAAAGTAATTTAAACAGATTTATATTCATATTTTAGAGATGCCAAGAAGCTGCTGTTGAAGCAATCTCTTCATGATCTTTTGTAAATTTCTTTTAAATGGTAAAAATTACCATACAAAGTTAAAATCCCAAGTATTTCCAATAAATAACTTAATTATATTTAAACTTTTCCTAATATTATTTTTAAAATATTTATATTTTGTGTTCGGTATGTTTAGAATATATTTTCTTGATAAATCAAACCAATCTGTCTGAATAAAATCATTTTTTATCAACAAAAACTACCGTAAACATTGAAAATTAAATGTAATTTCCATTCTTAATTCAATTATATTTCCCATTTAAATTATTCAAGTGCTAAACTATACATATATAAGATTTAATAGCGCTAAAGAGTCTGGGTGTAGAACAAGTTCTAACCTTGATCAAATAAATACAAATAAATTTCCACTTTGCCTCATTTGCATTTTAGACGCTTGGAAAAAAATGGTAAAAATAAAAAAATCGCAATGTAATAGGTAATTCTCTCAGGCGTAAAATAAGTGAGTAAAAAATGCCAGAGGTGTGGCTTGTAAAAGGGGTTTTTGTTATTTTTTGTTTTTGGTTTCATCAAAGACCGTAAATCATTGGCATTAATCTTCATTGACGATAAGTGGCAATAAGCCCATAAATCCAGGCCTAAAGATAAGCAGGAATTTCGCATTAATCGAGTCAATTTTTTTTCATTAACGAAAGTTAATGGTATCAATATGCGATTTTTGGGGAAAATGCAACATACCAAATATACTATAAAAATATATATTTTGTATATTTAATATAAATACTAAGGAGGTCTTATTCAATTTTTGATCTTTACAGAACCCAAGAACTTTTAGAATGTTTCTTTAAATTTTCTAATATTAAATTATAACATCAAATTTTTATATCTTTTTATGATGTAATTATTTATATAGTACTTGGTTTATTTTTATGCATACCTGTATGATTTTATGATACATTTATGCTTATGCTTATTAAAAATCAAAAGCCTTTATATGGTTTTCTTAAAAATGCATTGGTAATATTTACCAAAAGTGAAAAGCAGTTAATTTTTAATTTAGCTTTTAATTAAATGTAAATTAAAAGCTAAACAGCTTTTAAAACATTTTTTAGAGATTTATAAACTCAAAGTTCTATCATTAATCATAGGATTAATTTTCATTACGTATACGTAATATCTGGAAATAATTAAAAAATAATGTATAATTCAAAGCTGAATCATTTCCCTTGATTTTCTCTATTTATTATTGTTATTGAGCTTGAGCTTGAATTATTTTTGTCGAACATACACTGAAAACTCGTTTTTACTTGCAACAAAAAAAAAAAAACAGAAAGATATATACACACATGTGTGTGTAGCCCCGAAAATGCGTCGAAATTGTTGGGCTCATTTTTCTTGTTTTGTTTATTTCGGTTTCACTTTTTTCCCCCCAAATTTTTTTTTGTCATCTTGTTTTGGTCTTTTTTTTAAGGCATGTGTCTTAAGTTTAACGCTTGCAATTAAAATACACACCTCGGCATCCATTTTGTTGTTGGGGCTTCTTCTGTGTCGTTGACGTTGTTGTTGCTTTTATCTTTTATTGTTGTTGTCAAAGAACTCGGTCAAAGCACGAGACCAAAATTAAGCAAAAAGAAAAAACAAATAACAACAAAAAATAAACCAAAATAAAGTGAGAAAAAATCAAGAAAATTTGTTCGTCTCTTGATCTTAATGATTTATTTGCGTAGCCTGCATTTGGCCGGTACTCCTGTTGTTTCTCTTGGCGTCGTTTTTTTATTTATAATTATTTGATGATGCGGCTAAATTTGTGTACTTTTTAAGCATTCGACGATCTGCTGATTTGCTGTGTGTTAATCGCTCCACGAAAAATTCAAGACTGACGACCGGCGAAGCGTCCACAATCGTCACTCGGTTTTGCTGGTCGAGAGAGGTGGAATGGACACTCAGCAAAAAAGTAAGTGTTTCCAAGAACTAATCTTTGATCAAACACTTTAAAAAATAATCTATATATATAGAGTAAACATAAATACCAAATTAATTTAATATAAATATACTTAAACATCTATTATCAAGTTATGCAAAATTATATAATAAAATCTATCCTTCAATATTCCAAAATATATTCAAATATATATAACAAAAAATGTTGTAACGCTTGAAGGAGTCATTTCCGAACCTATAAACCATATATATTCTTGATCAGCATAAAAAGTCGAGTCGATCTAGCCATCTCAGGCGGAAAAAAATATTTTGAAAAATTTGTTCAAATTCTTATAAGGGGTTACTTCGCTTAAATTGTGAAAAATTGATACAAATTTTAATATATTTTACATTTCAAATTTAATATGCAGATTTATTAATCTTGTAAAAACTAACATAAAACAGTTTTCCGAATAAAAATTCATGCTTTTTTAGCTTAGTTATAATGGTTCATTTTCTTACCTATTCTTAAACATATAATATATATATTTATATATAATTTAAATTGAAGCATCTATTTATTTCGAGTGTAAAGAGTGGAAGAGAGCATCTGCCTTCTTTTGCCGCCCACTTAATCTCTCTCCCTCTCGCTCTTGCTCTTGCTGTCGATCTCGCTCTACCACTTGTTGGTGGCTCATTACAGAAATATTTCTAAGAATGCCTGGGGAGAGCGACAGCTGACCGATCAGCTGTTTTCCCATTAACTTCTTTGATCACCACCCACCACCCCACACTCTCTCTCTATCTCTTTCACTCGCTGCCTCTTCCATGAATGAGTTTGCCCAGTTGCCGTATCACGCCACAGGTGGCGCTGTGAATGGAGCCAATTAATGAATGGAAAAATAATAAGTATTAAAAGATAGCGAATAAGTGCTTTGCTAATTAATTAACAACGCCTTAAGCAGGGCGTCTTGTACAAAGTTATAAAAGGAAGCTTGAGCTTAGTGCAGGGAAGTTTGAATTAGCTTAAGGAACAAATTTAAACTTAATTTAAATAAAAAGAAATACAACAAATTAATAAACTCATTAGTATTAGTTTACTGGGGATATATATTAAAATTATTCTATACAGGGTATTCTCTTAGTCGTTTTTAGGCCCTCCAAATATGAGAATATCTTTAATTAAACGTTTAATTTCTGGCTTTTATTAAAATTAATTTGTATAAAAATAAAAATACAATAAAATGAATAGGCGGCTTGAATCAAAAGACTGTCAATAATAAAACGTACACTTGAAATAAACAATTCTTATATATAAGATTGAAAAATTGTGAATGAAATATCATTTATAATATATAATATTATATTACTACATATATTATATTATATTACTATTATTATTATAGTACTCTTACCATTATATTACTATAAAAACAATATAAATATTTATTTTCGTTTAAAAAATTACGAACGAAAAGTTCATAGACATCTATAATTATATATTATTTATATTTTTATAAAAATGTAATAATAATAATAGTTTAAGGTAATCTTTTCCTACCTTACTACACAAAATTAAGAATTCCATTTCCTGTTTTCTTTAAGAACTACCACTTCCTTGTTCTTTTTTGTTTTATTTAATTTCTTATATCCTTCTAAAAAAATATTACATTTTATTCTACAAAATTGTATATATTTTAAATTCTTAAAATCATCAAATGCTGCCTTGTGGCACACCAAAGTATTCTATTCGAGAATCATTTAATTAAAAGCGGGCATAGACCTCAAATATATATTTATATATATATTTATATGTATATCAAATGTATATAAAGAATCCAGAGAGGCGCCAGATCGACCCTTGGACACTGTCCCTGACCTTGTGGAGTGACCAAAAAATATATATATAAATATATATATGGATATTGGAGGAACTATTTTCGGTCTGCCTGGCGGCCTTGCGAGATCACATTTTAGGTCAGCCGACCATAAATACGAATAAAATACGACCAGAACGTGAACGGATCAGGCGTCTATATAGGTTATTAAAATATATCAAGAAGTATCATTATAATAAATAATGGGACAGTTTTGCAAAAGAAAAGTTGCCAAATTAAATAAATTTAAGAGACATAGAGATGCTTAAACTCAAGAGTAAAGTGAAGGAAAATTTGAATTTAATTTATGGAATGATAAGTTAAAATTATTTATTAATCCTTTAATGGTAATATTTAAAATATTGAATACTTATATTAAGGGAATCAACTCTAAGTTAAATTAATTAAATTCTTCTATAACAAACAGTGAAACCTTTAAGCTTACGTTTTCTATCATGTAAAATACTAAAGGCTTTTTAATGACATTTAATATTAATAAAATATTTAGCCAACAATAACTTTTAAGGCTTAAATATATATTTTTTTTTTGTTATTAAATAATTCAATGTATTATTACAAATATGACATACTCGACAACAAAATTAAATAAGAACGCTTGCCTTTCATTTCAAAAAATCTCCATAACTTTCGCTTTCGACACCTTAGCTTCACTTAACTCATCCCAAACAGGTAGTTCTGCCTTATAAATAAAAAATATATAAAGTATATAATATATATATATATATATGATACTGCTGTATGATATCTATATATCTAGGTGGAACTGACATGCTTCGCTTCTGCCTTGAAAAAAGAAAACTCGCAATTAAAACCGTTTGCTGTTGCCCTTTCTTCAGCGCTTTGCTTATATTATTCTGTAGATTATTGTTATTAAATTGTTGGGCCAGCCCAATCCACCTTTTTTTTTTCTTGGACTTTTTTGTTGTTGTTGTTATTTTGTTTTGTTTTTGTCAAAACGTTAAACGTTTTTTAGTGACGCTCCAGTAAGTACTTACAAATCCGGCAACAAGCGGCGGTCTTAGTGGTTGTAATTACCCAAGTGACAGCCAGTTCTTTGAGCTCTACCTGATTTTAGGGGCGGAAAGTTCGGGGAAAGTCACCAAAAAAAAACAACAACAACAGTACAAAAAAACCCAAAAATATATATGTAATAAAGTCTGGAAAAAATATATATTTATTTAATTGCAGAAGTCTTAGAAAGTGAAAGATCTGTAGCCGGTCTAGTGTTTCGACATTGTCACCATATCCGAAACGGAAATCTCGATCTCTTAATTCATTCCGTACACTGCACGTCATTGTTATCATAACGCTCTATGGGAAGTAAAGAAAATATTGTTAAATTGTTTAGTTTTTAGGTAGAAATTAATTTAGACTTATGGCTAAGTTATTAGTCTCTTTAAACTTGGGGTCTAAGTCTGTTTTTATTTAAAAAACAAATCCAGAGCGGACTAGAATCGGTTGGGAATTATAAAACAAAAGCTGAACATTTACCAATATTGACTCTATAATTCCCAAGTAACTTTTTGGTAAAGGATACTCGCTTGTTTTTTGATGCACATATTATATTTTTATACCCAAATCTTAACTCAACTTCCGGTTTGATACATTAGCCTCTTCCTTCTCTGGAAAGGAAATCGAAACTATATATTTTTTCTTAATGAGAAAAAAAAAAGAAGAACCAATAAAATTAGATTTGTGTGGTGGTTCCCACCACCGCCTTCTCGATTATCTCAGCTGCTTCTGGTCCCTGGACAAGTCCGACCTGTTGTTGGCGCCCGCCTCCCGGTCGACATATCCTCCCGAGAATGGCAACAAAGTGGCATTGCCAAAGTGGGACACACATGCCTCCACATACCACCATGCCACATAGTCGAGAGTGGCACCACATTGGATGACCTGGCCTGGCCGAGTTACTCAGCTCAGCTCAGCTCAGCTCAGCGTCTGCGCCTGCGCCTGCGTCTTGTGCCCTCCTCCACCGATCCCCCTTTGCGGAGCTATCCGATCATCCGATCCGCCATTAGCCGGAATCACTTGGAAGCACTCAAGCTCACACTGGGAATGCACAGGGAGAAAAAATATGTGAGTAGCTTAAATGCATTTATCATATCAGATTAAGATAAAACGGGAAAGTAAACTAACTTCGGAAAGCCAAAGTTTACGAATCCTTAACGTTTTCAATTGCATTTACAGGTTTGAATCAAAAATCAATTATAACTATGTTTAAAATATTCGACTTTTTCTAATCTATATTTATAGATATTTTTATATGAAAATTTGTACGATAAATCAAAGTTTGAAAAACTCATAACTGAGCCAAAAATTCATTAATTTCAATTCGGAAAGCTGTTTTATATTAGTTTTTAGTAGGTTAATAAATCTGCAAACTCAATTTCTAATTTTAAAAATTTTAAATTTTTATCAATTTTTGAAGTTGTTAACAATGTAATTTTAACTATAAAATTCTGAAAAATTTTTTTAAAATTTAATTTTCTTTTAAACATGGCTTAATCGATTCGGCTTTTCATGCTGATCAAGAATATATATGATTTATAGGGTCGGAAATGATTCCTTCACTTAGTTTCAAGCTTCTGACTAAGATTAAATACTATTATTTAGTCGATATTTATTTATATTTTTATATGATAATTTTTTCTATAAATCTATGTTTTAAAATATTCAGAACTTTGCCAAAAATTCATTAATCTTAATTCGGAAACCTGTTTTATGCTAATTTTTAGTAGGTTAATAAATCTGCAAACTCAATTTCTAATTTTATAAATTTAAAATTTTTATCAATTTTTGAAGATGTTAACAATGCAATTTTAACGATAAAATTTTGAAAAAAAATTTAAAAATTTAATTTTTTTCCTACATGGCTTAATCGATTCGGATTTTCATGCTGATCAAGAATATATATGACTTATAGGGTCGGAAATGACTCCTTTATGAGTTATAAGCATTTAACTTAAATTATAATACCCTGCAAGAGATTTTTTTCTGTTACTACTACAATTCTCCAAAAATAATTAAGAAGAACAATTATTATTATAATTGTACAATACAGTTTTTTTAGAATATTTTTAGTGGTCTTCAGAGCGAATATAAAATAGGAATAGGTATAAGGATAATATCTATTCAAGATATTATTAAAAATTTTTCTTAACAGTTATATAGAAGTTTTCGAATTTTTTTTAATATTATTTTCTAAAAGAATGTATAATTTGAACACTTACACTGAATAATAAATATTTAAACAGTTTCTTTATAATTTAAATATTTTAAACACAAAATACCTAACAATTAACAGAACTTTAAAAAGAAGAACCAAAAAATATATAATTACTGGCTTACTTTTAAAATCATTTCTTTTCTTTATTCATATCTGTGATATGTATTTCTTATTACCTTAAAAAATCCCAGATTTACCTATATATAAACCCGATAAAATCTCGTATCTTCCAGCACTTGTCTAGACTTCTTTTTAGATTTTATGAATGCACTTTTTATGTGCCATGCCAAAGGCACTCGGGGTAATGATTAGATCGGCAATTTGGCATGCCTCGATAACTGTCGCAAGGCCAGTTAAGCGCCAGGTGGGTCTCAATGCCCACCAACGGGGAGAACATTCGACCTCTTGCCAAGAGTCAAGAGGTAAGAGCTTGGAGCTCCATGGAGCTGGATGGAGGAGGAGAAGCAGGAGGAGGAGGAGCTGTAGCTGTGCGTTACGGGCCAAAAGCCAAGCGTCCGAAACCGAAACTAAAGCAGAAGCAGAAGCCGAAGGGAGGTGGAGAAGCTTTTGGTGGCCAAGAGCCCGGAGTTGGGGGCTTTCTCCGACTGGCAGAGCCAAGTTGCGACTGGGCCTTGTTTCATTTATTAACCAGACTCGCAGCCAAACGGTCGTCGAGAAGAGGAGACATCCCACAGAGGCACACACTCGCACACCGAGAGAGAGAGATAGAGAGAGTGACACAGAGGGAGAGAGAGATAGTGGGGAGAACCTAGCAGGAGAATGGATACCAAAACGGGGACTCCCACTGGCATCAAGCTCTGCCTTTGGCTCACCATCATCTTGCTCTTCACCGATCTATCGGAGGCCATCGATTTTGGCTATCATCCCAGTGCCGAGGAGTTTGACACTTTGCTGAGGGAGACCACCAAGCAGAGTCCCTGGAGCCGGGATCTTCTCCAGCAGCAACAGCAGCAGCAGCGTTTTATCCACGACAATCGAGGATTTGTGCCGCGTTATCAGCACCAGACCTCCATACGCTTTCAGCCGCCGGAGTTGGATTTTCAATTGTTCGATCAGGATCAGGATCAGCCCTCACAGCCGTATGTCTTTGAGTCTGTGGAGGAGGATGATGTGGCCGCCAGTGCAGGGGATCAGCTGCATGTGCAGAGTGAGCTGCTGGAGATCAAGGAGCCCACCAGGAGACCTGGCAATAGCTCTTATAGCTCTCCTGCAACCTTTCCCATATACTTTACCCATCCCACCACGGGCATAGTGTATGCCATTAGCCAAGTGGGAGCAGGAGGTGAAGGATTAGGAGCAGCAGCAGGAGGAGGAGTCGGACTACCCCCCACTGCTGGCCAAAGTCGTAACGATAGCAATGCCATTGCAATTTATGTGACCAAAGCCCAGTATGATGCAGATATGGAGAAGCTACGACGGCGTTATGAACACCAATGTCAGGTTGCGCCACCAGGCACAGTGATATCCACCCTGAATCCCAGCCAGCAGCATCAGCAGCAGATTGGAGGAATCACCACTGCGAGGCCCCAAATTATACGCCTCAAGAAACCCAAATATCCGCCGGGAAGACCCAGTAATAAATTACCCAAACCCGGCCATCGACCGCCTCCCGTGATGGTGACCAGTGGACCCATCGATCATGTAAGCGATCAGTTGCTAAAGTTGCCACACAGAGGAGGCGCCACCATGACCACCTCGACCAGTACGACCAGCACCACCACCACCCGGAAGCCGAGCACGCGCAGGAAACGTCGCAAGAAGAAAAAGCCCAGCAAGGATAAGGTGGTAAAGAGACGACCCAGGCCAGGATATGGGGGTAATAATACCCGCAATCAGCCAGGACCATTGCCCATTATCCTGGGCAAGAGACCAAGTGGGAGTAGCACCACCACAACAAGGCCACCACCGCCGGCATACACGCAACTGGAGAAGCCGCACATGCCGGTGGCCACCACCCAACCGACGGGCAGCAATGTCTTCAGTCAGCATTTGTACAGAGCGGGGGAAGAAAGTGACACAAGGGAAGAATTGCATGAAGAAGGATCACCCGGAGAAGAAAGTGAATTAAAGGAAGAATTACTCAAAAAAGGGTCAAGAGAAGTGGAGAGTCCTAGCCGCAGGCGACGCTCTTTGGAGGCTCTACAAGGAGGAAATAGGAAAGCATCTAGAAGAGATCCTTCCTTAAAGAAAGCAGAAGAAACTCAAGATAAAAAAGGAAGAAAAAGACAGCAAAGAAATCTTCCAGAAGAAATGGAGAAATCAGAAGAACCCTGAGTAAGCCAAAAAACTGGAGAAAGGCTGTAAAGAAATCACTAAAATCCCTTGATCATCGTCGACAACGTCGCTCCCTCCAAGTAATCACTCCAGAAACCAAGATCCAGGATCCCACAAAATCCTCGGGACTTGTCCAAGGACCACAAAGAGTAGTCTCCGCTCGAAGGGTAAGCACACCGCCCAGGAGCACTCCCCGCCGGCGTTCCAAAGGTAGCAGTTCCAAGCCCAAAACCAAGCAGCCACCACAAACTCCAGTGCCCAAGGACAAGGGTAAGACCGAGGTGGCCCATATGTTGCCCACGGCCATACATTTGGCCCACTGGAATCACAGCCGAAAGGAGCAGGGAGTACAAAGGACACAAAGTGATCCCTTAACATCCCTGAAGAAAAACCAAACTGCAAGGATTTCAACACCAAAATTGAATAAGAAATCCAAAAGCAAGGAGCGTAAAAGAGGAAGACCCGAGGGCTCTAGTTTTCCCGATCTTTTCGAGCTCATGGGCGATGATGGAGACTATGATGATGATGGTAAAGAGGAGCAGGATGAGGATGACGAGGATGAAGACGAAGACTACTTTTATGGAAAGCCAGTAAGGCGACGGCACACCGATCAGCAGAGTGACCAAAAGGAGGATAGCAGCTCCGCGGAGGAGGGTGCAGATTTTGGGGCCATGGTTGAGGATGAGGTGACCACGCCCCCGGCAACCAGCAGCGAAGAGGAGGCGACGACGTCAGCTGAGGTCACCTCCAGCACCAAGAACTCCATGGCCAAGAAGAAGATACGCATCAGGCGACGTCCTGTGGATACGGAGGAGGACTATGATGATGATGATGAGGATTCTGGCATTGGTGGCTTTTTTCGCATGCTTTTTTATCCCGTTCAGGTGGCCATGTCGAGGATAATGGATGGCTTCAGCAGTCCCGAGGAGGATGAGGACAAGGAGCCTTCAGGACCCATGATAAGCAAGTACCCGAGCTACACGCTCTATCACAATGCCCACAGCAATGAGGCCTACGCAGAGCCTGAGGATCAGGATCAAGATGAGGATGAAGAGGAATCCTCCTCGCTGGGCAGTTGGTTTAGCTCCTGGTTTGGTTTGCAGCGGAAAACGAAGAAGATTGGAAGTACCACCACCACCACGACAGTGGTGCCTCTGCCCACACCCTCAAAGGAGCCACCTGGCTGGCTAGAGTCCTGGTTTGGTTTTGGCAAGACCAACACCAAGGATGAGGAGGAGGAAGATGACTATGATAGTGAGTAGAAATTTAAATTCTATAAAAAATTATATAGTTTAAGCTTGTAAATTTTAACTAAAACATATTTTTAGGATTTTTTTAAAGGGAATTTTCGAAAAGTTTTGAAATAAGTTTGAAATTATAGTTTAATTTAAAAGTTTGCATTAAAAAAAGGGATCTTAAATACTTTTATATTTACTTTCTGTATTTATATATATTTTTCTTTTAATTTCCATTAGCGTAACTTCAACTTTGCATAATTAAATTTGATATTAATACGCTTGACTTAATATAGACATCAAAATATTTATTTAAGACATTCTAACGATGATCTGGCATTTTCTTTCAAGCCAATAAATTCCTAATATTAGCCAAGTTAATGGCTCTACTTTAAGGCAATTAAAAGAAAAACTTGGCACTCGAGTGATCAAGTTAATGGGGAGATTGCCTGAATGAGCAGGGAAATACCCATATACCCATACCCATACTATATACTATATGATAAAAGAGGGAAACCAGAATCAGAATCAGAACCAGAACCCAATCCCACCCAAGAGCCACCGTTAGCTCTGGTGCCTTCTCCATTTCCGTTCACGCTTTCTGCACAGACAGAAGACACACACTCCCTCCTCCACCACACACTACTAATCCGAGTTGACTTTCCTTTTTTGCAGAATGGTTTGCCAGCTGGTTCGATTCACGGCCCAAGCGAAAGGTCAGACGACGTTCCACCACCTCCACATCGACCACATCGACCACAACAACCAGTCCAGCTGCAGCAGCTGCCCAGGTGCCCATCCTGACCATTGTGGATCCACTGCGAAATCCCCAAAACTGGATTGGCATTCTAGCGCATCACATAGTTAACTCCACGGCTACGACTACCAGTAATCCTTTGCTGCAGGCACTGGCCACCCGGATGTCAAGTACCAGGGGAACCACTAGCACCTCAAGTACCACAACCAGTACGACCACATCGAAGCCAGAGGTTCCTAGGAGAATAAATTATGATAAGTATCAGATTTGGAGACTAAAGCCACAGGATGAGACGCAGGTGCGAGCTCTAGAGGATTTCAAAAAGGCCGAGGATGGCGTCAAGATGCAGTGGCTCAAGGGGCCAAGTTTAAGGTGGGTTCTCAGGAATCTTAATATAGTCTTGGTTATTTATATATATATATATATATTCTCTATCCCCTTTTAGAGGTCTCACCGATGTCCTTGTGCCGCCCAAAATGCTGGTGGATTTCCAGGGCACTTTGAACTACGAGGGCATTGCCCACGAGGTGCTCATCTTTGATGTGGGCAAGGCCATAGCCTATGAGCGTTCCAAGGAGGATTATCTGCACACCACACGGCCATCGAAGCATCAGTCCTCACGTCCCACAATACCACCGCCCATGACCTGGAATCGGTATCATAATCATGATGAGATTGTCAAGTATTTGGAGACGGTACGCATGCGCCATCCGCAGCTGGTCGAGCTCATACACATTGGACGCTCCTACGAAGGTCGTCCCTTGATCGTGGTCAAGATTGAGTCCAAGCAAGCGAGTTTATATACCGGAAATAGCGATGGTCCTGTGACGGGGAAACGGCCCAAGCGGAAACACAAAGCTGGCCAGGCAAATGCTGTGTTCGTGGAGGCTGGAGCTCAGGGATTGGCTTGGATAGGACCAGCAACGGCCACCTGGATGATAGCCGAGCTGCTTAGACTGATGAAAACCAACAGTGAGTGGGATTTAATAGTAGTAATAGTACTTATATAAAATATATATCCCAACAGAAAGCAACGAGGAGGTGGAGTTTATACGGAACACCACCTGGTATGTGATGCCCGTCCTTAATCCCGATGGTTATGCCTATAGCCATGAGTATGATCGTTTCTGGAAGAAATCACGATCGCAACATCAGGCCCCGCCGCCCAGTGGCCTCTTGGATTCGGCAATGACATGGCTACAGCAGAAACGGGGACCGGAAAAGGTCTGCTATGGTGTGGATCTCGATAGGAATTGGCTTTACCAGTGGGGCAAACGTGGCAGCTCCAAGGCTCCCTGCAATGAGTTCTATGCGGGTCCCACGCCCTTCTCCGAGCCGGAAACGAAGGCAGTTTCGGAATTTCTCATGGACTACAGAACGCAAATCAAGGTAATTAGGAAATTATATCCTTAAAAATAATCCTTGATTAACTTTTGTGGCCTTTGTTAGTTGTACATATCCCTGCAGGCCTATGGTCAGGTCATATCCTATCCTGTGAAGGCCAATTCCACATTTAATTCGGAGCGTTTGGATGATTTCCTGGATGTGGCCATGGTGGGCACCGATGGACTCCGCAAAAAGGGCAGCAAGTCGCGCTACAAGGTGGATGCCTCCAATGATCTAATAGAACAGCGATCGGGTGAGTACATTATATATATTTTATATTATTTTTAAAGTAAATTATATACTAAACTTGTGTCTGGCAGGCTGTGCGGATGCCTTTGCCGCCTACGAGATTGGAATACCCTTTAGCTATACGCTCCAGCTGGCGGACAATGGTGTCCATGGCTATCTGCTGCCCAGCAGTGCCATCGAGCCCACGGCTCGGGATGCCTTTGAGATCATTAGCGGCATGATGGACTACATTTAGGTTGAAGGAGAATGGAGGATGATGGGCAGGGATTCGGGTTGGGTGCTTAGTTCCTTTTTTTCCTATCAAGCGCATTCTTTGGTCGTTTGCGTTCCGGAGATCATATTTTAACATTTTCGGAATACACTCCCCAAAAAGGATATCCATACTTGAATTTTTTTTTTTCATATTCCAAATTTGTTGTTTATATTAAATGTAAGTGTATTTTTTTATTAACATTTTAATTTGCATTTTGATAATTCTCCGATTGTTGTGTGTATGTATTATTAATATTTTTTTGTTAGCTTTAATTCTATTTATAATAAATAGTAAATACTTAAAGAAGGAGCATTCAATTGCTTCGTATAACTTGATTTTTTTGCATGGATGCCATGTATGTGGTGTTAATTTATATATTTATATTTTGTTCCAAAGAAAATCGGAGTTTTTCAAGTTCTTTTGAGTCTATTCATTTTCTTGCAAGTCCTTTCAGCTTTTTTTTGGTATTAAATCAAGTTGTTATTTATATTATTATACTCAAAGTATAATATGTACTAAGAACTTGGTTTTTAATTGTTTATAACCAATTGCTTGTTATGTTATTATACTAAACATACAATTTATCGCTTTGGATAAACTTGAATTTAGCTACAACTACAAGATTCATACGCCTAGGAGACTGTTTTTACTGTTTTGGGAGTATAAATAAACATAATATTACTTTCTCCTTTGATATTAATATATTATAATGCCTAAACTCGACATTTTCTTTGATATCGAACTCAATAGTCGTAATTGAATCAAAGTTTTCCCTTGAAGTCTTCTGACATCTCTCTCATTCTCTCTCTGGTTTCGTTTTTAAATAAATAATTTTGATTATACATTAATCTTCAATGTCCAGGCATTATTACAGCTCTTTGTAATGCCAAGTTCTGAGATAAAGGAACTATTTGATACCTGGTTAAGCAAGTACCTCTGTGCCGTTGCTAGACGCATCCCTGCGAGACCGAAATCCTGCCCGCCAGCTTCGAGAAGATTGTGTGGCATTCATTGCCGTAGAAGTAGAGACCTATGAGCAGCTTGAACTGGGCCGGTGTCATCGGATACGAGTCCTGGGACATCACAACGAGCGTGTCGAGGGACTTGCGTTGTCCACGTAGCTCCATATTGGCCACCAACTCCCTGTAATTGGCAAAGGCAGCGGCGCACTTGGCAATCTGACGCACCATTTGATCTGGGGAGCACTGCTGCATCACCGGGCGCTGGATGGCCTCCAAGACAAGCGAATGCAGATCGAAGACGATTAGATCCGGCGCTGAGGTATCATTCTCTGCGCTGCAACTTCCTTGGAGGTCCAACAGACGGCAAGGAGTGCTCTCAATGTCCGCCAATTGGAAGATTTTCAGACATTTGCTGTTGCTGCTGCTGATGCCCTTGCGGTTGGTGATTAGCAAAACGCGATTTTCATTTAGCGCGCAGCGTTCACATAGCTGGAAAAAGCCGAGTTATAAGAAGAAGAACAACGGGGAAAACTCCAGGCAAGCCGGCTTGTTTCTCACCTTCTCCAAGCACTTGGTGTACTCCTCGTTGGCGGTCAGATAGATGTAGTTGCTAATGCAGTCGCTCAAAGACGTGGTCATCCCTTGCAGTAACAGAAATTGACAAATTTGCGACGAAAAACAAAACAAAATCAAAACTTAAGAAATGCGAAAGCCAGTGTGACCGCAGTCAGAAAGCTGAAAAAAGATACGGTTGCCAAGGAGAAACAAACAATGCAGTTTCGATTATCAATGAATTTTGATTGGAACACAAGTTCCATTTAAATGGGCAAAAATTAGCAATAATATACGAAAATAAAAAAAGGTGAGCTTAAATAATTAATTTCAGTTTTTGCAATGGGAGCATGGTGAAAACAGTTCGATCGATATCGATAGTTTGATATCGGCAGGGCTGCTAACATGCTGGAATGAGACTAGTAGTCTTTCTAATTTTACGGACAATACCTATCATGTTTTCTATAACTATAAATATTATTGAAATATGGATTTAGAATACAAATTCGCACTTTAACGATATTAACCCACATAAAGCGAAAACAAAGAAGAAAGATAGTTGGTCAGGTTAGCAGGTCAGTCTTGCAGAGTGACCATTTTGAACTCCGTCCAACGCCTAGTCATAAACGTTCTAAATAATACCACGAAATGCTGCGCCACCTAGAGTCCACCATGCCAAACATGCACCATCATCATATCGCCGGCCTTGTCGAACGCCCGTGGAACGACTACTGCAAGCGAGATGGCGATAGCATCAGGAGATGGGCGAGCGGGATAGCAGATCAAACCGATGGCTGTCAAACTCAACACAGCCGTGCCGACGAACAGACCGCACAAAGCGTAATGTAAAAGAATTGAAAAAACTCATCAAGTATAGAGGCCAAAAAGCAAACGCAGCACTCCGGGGATAAATTAATCAATTCGTTCGATGCGAAACAACTAAATGCGGCGTTTACAGCGCAGTGGATGCGAGCGGCCAACGAATTGCGGTAAGCACAGAGAAAAGCAAAAAGCAGCCAAGAAAATACGAACGAAGCGAAACGCACACAAACAGACGCACCACACACCACACTCACATAGAAGCGCCCACATTCTGAGGCCGAGAAGTGAAAAATTGAAAGCGGCGTTCTGAAAGAATTACCCATTTCCCGGAAGACCGAAGGCGGAGGTCGAAGACGCTAATTAAAGATAGCCTGCATGTTTGCACATTTTCTAGGAGGCAACGAACAGAGCCGATAAAAAGGCGATCCACACGCATACAGCCAAGTGAGAGCCTCCCATACAGGCGAGCCACTCACACACCGCAAACTCTGGCACACACACACAGACACACACATACCACACCACACACACTCTTACACACAAGCGTGCGTGCCTTGGCAGGTGAGAAGAAGAGGAAGGAGCAGGAAGAGGAGCCCAAAAGGAGGCGCCAACGGAAACAAAATTGGATAAATTGAGAAAAAGCGGCGCAAGAAGGCGAAAGGAAGCTGCAACAGACTCTGTACGAGGCGCAGCGTAGATCAGGAGGAACAGCAGCAACAGCGGGAAGCAACTCCACGAACAAAAACAGAAGCGGCAGCGTATTTGGCGAAAATCTTGCATTGATGGTAATGCATGCTAGAAAACCGCAGCGTATGAACGATGGGTACGGAATGAACATTTATATATATTTATATTTGATAAATCGTAGGGTCGTGAAATAACAACACTGGCCACACACACCCATAATTGAATATTTTTTGTTTACGTTCTGCTGCTGCCTCCCAAGTCACTACCTCTCCCTCTTACTCTTTGCATTCGTCGCGCCCTCTCTTTCTAACTCGTAGTGCCAGTGACCTGGCCGCATTTCCTTTACGAATTTCCCCAAAAAAATGTAATCAATTTAGTTAACCGCTTTCCTTGTAATTAATTTGCTTAAACTTTGTGCCAATGATTTTTGTCGCGTTTTCTGTCCCTCATTCTCGCGTTATTCGTGTTTTGGGTATCCACCACACACGCTAGTGCCTTCCTGCTCGCACGCGCTCAGCTGTCGCTGAATGCAAAAAAAAGAAATAAGAAAAATAAGAAACGATAAAAAATCCATTATCTTTTACCGTTGCTATTTTGCATTGCGATTTTCCTGTTTTCACGAAATTCATGTTTTATTTCTTTGTACGCAGATTAGTTTCTCCTCGCTCGCTTTTTGTTTATTATAGTTTTTAGCCGGCTTTAGTTTGTTTTGTGCTTACATATAAAATAAACAACTAATCGATGCCGGCGCATTGATAAGGTTTTATTATTGATAAATGAAATAAGCTGCAGGCGATATATACACATATTTAAGTGTGCAGTGATTTTTGTAGCTTTTGCAATCCTTTACAAGTATAGGGAATTGCAATATGTACGGCTTCACAGCTTCTAGAAGAGGAATATCAACAAATTTTTAGTTTAATGTTTAATAATTACGGGAATATTTGTGTTTTACAGGGTGTACGGAATTGTCTATAAAATCTTCTCCTTTATAGTTTAATAACTGTCTTATTTATCATATTAAATTGAGTGCTAAAACCTTAAAAAGACGTTCGGCTATCTATGTGCTAGATTAAATCGTTACTAAAGCTTTGAAATTCATTATAAAATGATCTTATAGGAAGAAAATACCTGTAGGATAGAAATATCTGAAATTGGTAGTCTATTGATCATGTTGTCTCTGAGAAAGCGATGTTCAGACATGGCTAAATCAACTCGTCTGGTGATATTGTTCCTTTCCTCTTCCTTTTATATATACTTTCTTTGTAAATATTCCAATATTAAGGCATATTATTATTATAAACTACGTTGTTTTAAAGTCTACATAAGGTTAAATGTTTGTATTAAGGTTGCAAGACCTTATCGATCCTATCTCCTATATCTACAAGCTTTAAAACCGAATAAACTACCCATAACACTTACTATAGTTCTTTCCTAAGGCAGCAGCAGTATGATGAACATTAAATAGCACTTTAATTCCATTTATATATTAAAATATCATTTCTAATAATTGTATTTATTTCTCTTATTCCAGGTACTTTGAGAAGCATACCAGCCACACATCCTACCAGGTAAGCAAAAGCCGCTCAGTATCTCCTCTGCCCCTGCGAAGCAATTTAATCACATTTAATTAATTGTGTATGCCAGTTTTGTCAGTTAGTGGATATATATATATATATATATATGTATTTCGTTCCGTAGTTGGTAGTTAGTCCTACTTGAAGCCAATGCAAATTTTAGATTCTTTAACTCAATTCCATAATTCATATGAATTTAATTTTCTCATATGTATCTATATATTCATATATATCTTGAGATCAGATGTTGTACCTGTGTAGTTTGGAATTTTTTAGTTTCCTTATTGGTATATTTTGTTTTTGAAAACATTTATTCAATCGCTGTGTTTGTTGTGCATCCAAAATTCCTCCTAATTGTCCCCGTCCGTCATCCATTATCCATTTTTGAACTGACCAAAGCAAACGTTTCATTTGTTAACCCATTGAAAACGCGGCATTGCAGCCTGTGAACTGATCTTAAATTGAGAAACGAATCTATATACGCAGAGATATACAATATATTTTAAGAAAGCAAACTGGAAAGTCTACGCCAAAATTCCGAACTTAAAAATCGATAAACAAATGCAATAAACAAGTATTCTAAATAAAAGTGTAAACGAAATAATAATCCAACTACAAAACGGAGCTATTTAATTCGAAATCTTAACCAAAAACAGCACAAATACGCTTTCAAACGCCGAAGTTAAGAATTAAACCAACCGAACACCGATATATTCACGCCATTAATCAAAAAAACATAGATTACATTAATAAAATAAAATAAACAGAAAACAAATCCATGTTTAAGCGCTGCCTAAATACATTTAATCAAACTCTAGTAGCCTTACAAACGACGTAGTAAACAATTAAAACAAATTATACACGATATGCAAACTAAATAACCAACTAACTAAATAAATAGAGAGCAGTAACAAATTTTAAATAAATTAACAAAAATATCAACGATAAAACAAGGAGAACAACACAAATGTGCCTCAACAAAAGTCTAGCAACAACAATCAATTAAGCCAAAAGATAAACAAAAGAAACAAATTAACAAAGGACGACCAAAGTTATTCAAATTAATAAATTAACAAAAAATAAAACCATCTATGAGGAGCAACAATAAGCACAAAAACCACAACATGGCTGTTGATTTGTCCCTTTCAACAACAACAATTGCCAATTGCAATAGCAACATCAGCAGCAGCAACACCAACACCAACAACAACAACAATAACAACAACAACAGCAGTAATAATAACAACAACAATATTAACAATAATAATAATAATAGCAACAACAATAACAATAGCAAAAGTGCAGCAGCAGCGACCTCAACGTCGTCCTCGTCGTCAGCTGTGGGCCTCTGTCGCCTAGAAGTAAGTAAAAAACAGCAAATAAAAGCTTTCAATTAAAAAATAAAAGTGCAACAAAATTAAATAAATCAAGGAAAATATACAACAACAAAATCAAGGATAAAGCAATATAAAAGTGAATGTTAAACAATAATCCAAGCAATAAAAGACATCCAGGAGCAGCTCAAATAAAATAAAATCTATATACATTATACAGTTTCTTTATAATTTATAATTTACAATTAATTGAAAACCCACATAACAAACAAACGGCATCAAAATTTGTTTATAATTTAAACGTGAAATTTGGCTTAAACAAATGAAAAACCAAATTAAAATATTTATCTGAAAAAGGTTATATTTATTAGAATAGAAAATTGAGATATTTGAATTATAATTCATTTATATTTATATTAAAACAAAAAACTGCTACACACACACACCAAATACGTGACATATTTCAAAATTCTTCTCCGATTATAGTTACATTTTTAATTTGAAATTAAATATCATCTGAATTTCATTTCATTGGCAATAATCACAAGCAAAATACATTGGCAAAAGTAGCTGGCATTTAATTATTACTATTATTTCCCTATTACGTAGATTTAGTTCAACTAACTAACTAACTAACCCCGACCCCCATTCAAAAAGAAAACAATTGAAATAACCAAAAAAAGTATTAACTAAACCGAAACTGAAATCAAAGCGTTCTGTGTGAATTAACACTGTGCGCACACAGTGATTTCTGTATTTTTCAAGAGACCTGTGGCAGAGCTTCTAGATAAAAGGATATAAGGATTAAAAATAATTAAAAAATGAATCGAAAAGTATTCAATATCTATGGATATTTTTATATGACAATATTTTCCACAAATCAAAGATTTTAAATACCCATAGCTATGTTTAAAAGGCATTAATTTTAAATCGGAAATTAGTCACATGCTAGTTTTTAGTAGGATGTTAAAGCTGCATACTCAATTTAAAATAAAAAAAAATGTTTTTTTTTTGTCAATTTTTAAACATTTTTACGATGTAAAACTTCGAAAAAAAATTTGAAAAATTTTATTTTCTTTCAAACATGGCTAGATCGACTCGGCTTTTTATGCTGATCAAGAATAATTATAGGGTCGGAAATGGCTCCTTCACTTAGTTTTAAGCATCCGAATAAAATTATAATACCCTGAAAACATGGAATACCCCTTAAAAATACTCAAATGTGTGTATATTTTGTAATCTTTAAAGCGCTGAAATTATCTGAAACGAGTTTTGTTCTTTGTAAGCTTCTCGCTAGTATCCATCTACTAAATAAGAAAAAAAACCCAATAGAAAGGCAATTACTATAGGAAAATAGTCCTTAAAAGGAGATAAAGTGAATGTGTATAAGTTTGTATAGTAGTTTTGTTCTTATTATCAAGAGAATTTACATTTAAGAAGGACTACCTTATCTATAGACTCTGCCAGGTTTCTTGAAATCTCTAAACCATCTTAAAAATTATACTTTGTGTAGCACTGTAATTAATTTTGGGGCAAAAAGAAATAATAAATATATACAAAAGGAAATGGAAAAGCGAAACTAAACCGACTAAAAACTGTGTGCGCTTCTATATATTTACCCGTGCAGAGCTCAAAGTACAGCAGTTCAAAGCGCGACTATGAACGTGATCGTTCCTCCAATTATCGTGATCGCGACCTGTCGCCGGGCGCTGGCGGTGGCGGAGGTGGCGGCGGCGGCGGCGGCGGTGGTGGAAGCAGCAGCGGCGGAGGCGGTAGCAGTGGCAATGGTGGCGGCAGCGGCGGACCATTAAATAATGGCAACAGCTATCGATCCCAATCACCGGACATTGATTCGCCCTCGTCACGTTCCCATGATATCCGTGATCGCAGTGATCATCGTGGCGGCGGCGGCGGTGGCAGTGGGCGTGGCGGCAGCGGTGAGCGTTACAGCTTTATGCAAAAGATGCGTGACAGAGATCGTGATGTATACAAAAAGGATAAATATTCAGGTGAGTAAAGAGTGTGTTCCAAAAGATCCATCTATAAATCTATAATCAAACTCTGTATCCCTCAGATAAACGAGATCGGCGTGGCAATGATCGGGACTCGGAGTCGTCGTATCGTACCAACCATGACAGGGATCGACGTGGCGGCGGCGGTGGCGGTGGCGGTGGTGGTAGCAGTGCAGGTGGAGCAAGTGGCGGCAGCAAACTGTGCTCCTCGCGGGAAAACGACAAGCGATCGGGTTCGGATGATCGTGACCGGGAGCGAGATCGGGATATGCGTGATCTGCGCGACAAGCGGGACCGCAATTCGGATCGCGACAGGGACTTGTACAAGAAGGACAAGTATGCAGGTGAGTTTTCCAATCAATATTTTAAATTATTATATTAATTGCAATAATTATTATGAACTTGTAGATAAACGGAGCGAGCGCAGTGATCGTGGTGAGCGAACAGCACGGTATGGCGACTGGAGTGAGCATGTAAGCTCATCGGGTAAGTAACCAGCCTTAAGACATCCATTCTTAGCAGCATCAATATTAAATATTGGCTTCCTTTTCAGGGAAAATGTATTACTACAACTGCAAGACGGAAATCTCCCAGTGGGAGAAGCCAAAGGAATGGGTGGACAGAGAAAGGTGAGTCTGGCCATTTCCTTCCTTAAGTTTTTATTTAACTCGTATATGTTTTAGGAATATGCCGCGTGATCAGCACCGTGAGAAGGAATATCGTGACAAGGATCGCGATCGGGACCGTGAAGACCGCTTCTCCAGATCGAGTTAGTATATAATTAGTATCCTATACCTTGAACAAATACTTATGGATATATATTTTACTTCCAAATAGCATACAAACATTCCAATTCATCGCGCGACAATTCACGACTGAGATGGAATTATGAAAACGATGGCGGGCCGCCCAGCCATCGAAGGCGTTTGGATGGTAAGAAATTAATTAAATTAAGCCATAAGAAGAGCACAATTAAATGCTTCCTTATTCTACTCCCTAGGACGACACAATGATAATGCTGACATGGATATAAGCGGCGACTCGACGCCCACCTCGGAGGCCAGCTATTCGCTTAGCGGTACGCCAACTACTCATGGTGGCGGTAATAGCAGTGATCAGCCGATGGGCAATGCCCTGCCACGCCTGGCCTCCCACCCGAATGCAAGCTCCTCCTCATCGACCTCCGGCGTGACAGCGGGCGGAGCATTGGGAGCAGCGGCAGCAGTAGCTGCTGCGGCAGCGGCGGCAGCCGCCGCACTTCACTATGCAGGTGGAGCGAGCGGTAGTGGTGGTCCGGTAACGGGCGCCACAATGTTGCCCACCAGCGGACTCTCATCGTCCGTGAATAGTAACAACAATGCTGGCGGTAGTGGCAGCAATAGCAGCAACAATGCCAACAGCAGCAGCAGCAACAGTAGCAGCAGCAGCCTAATGAGGAATTCGGTTGTCGGCCACATTGGCTCCACCTCTGGCGTAAGTCTACGAGATACTAAAAAAGGGAATCCCTTAAGTAATTATTATTCATTTCAACAGACAACTGTGCCCACACTGCAGGATCCACACCAGCACCAGCATCATTTAAACTCGAATGCTCCACTGCCGCCGGGTGCCAAGGGTAAGGATCAAACGCTGCTACTAATGCGCCAGAAGATGCATCTGGGCCTTGGTGTCCTCGATCACCATGGAGTGAACTCTGTCGGTGGCAGTGCATCGGCGGGTGCAGAAGCGGTTAATCATGCCTACAATTCCGTGAATAATTCAGTTTCCGGCAGCAGTCTAAGCAGCTTACGGTAAGTGGCTTCTAGTTCCTCTTCAATCTTAATTAATTAACTAATTAAATAACTGTTTAAATTGCAGGGACAATAGTATCAACTCGCCACTGTACATGTCCCACTCGCACCACAGCCTCTCGCCGTCGCTCAGCAGCTACACCAAGAGCCCCATACCGACAATTGTCGGTCACACGAACAATGTGAGCGGCGGCGGAATGCTTAGCAATGCCTACACCTGCAGTGCACCCTTTGGCCTCAAGGATGTGGCCTCCGCATCGCCAGCCACGTCGAACAGCAGCCAAAGCCATGTGCCCGGCTTGGGCGCCGTCAGTGGTATCAGTGTGATCACCTCGATGGGCAGTAACAGTGTGGCCTCGACGTCGGGCGAGGGACCGCCCACGCCCACCCTAGAGCTGGAAGGCAGCGCGGCGTTGGAGCTGCAACAGCAGCAACAGTTGGCCGCCGCAGTGGCAGCGGCAGCCGCTGCAGCAGCAGCATTAGCGAGTGTCCAGCAACAGGCGCAGCAGCAGCGAAAATGTATGTATTTCCAAGGGCTTAGGGTATTTATTATTTATTAATCTTGTTAAATTATTGCAGTGGATGGCACTTCGTCGGCCACGCTGAGCTCCCTGCAAAGCTGCGTGGGCTCCTCGGTACAATCGGCCAATCTGCGCGGCCCAGAGATATCGCCCAAGTTGGCGAAATACTTTCGTGCCGATCTTATTGCGCACGTGACCAATTGGCATGCGGAGGTGCTGGAGCGTCAGGTAAGCTGTGACTAGCAGGGATCTTCTTGGCTGTTTGCAGTCTGTTATTCAGTCACTAATTGTGTCTTTTTTTTTTTGTGATAATCTTTCGAAGGCGCAGAAGTGTTGCGAAGACACACACCTGTTTGGCGACATTACCTGCACACGGATATGCGCGGAACTGAAGTGCGCCCGTAGCCTGGTGCGCAGCACAGAGATCTGTGCCACCCTGCAGGAACAAAAGTGAGTGGAAATCAATTGAAATTCAGTATTATATATCTAATATTGTTATTATTCTTTGCAGAATCATGTATTTGCGCCAGCAGATTCGACGCATTGAAGAGTCGAAGACTCAGAACGCGTTCATGTCGGACGATACTTAGGATCAGGAGCAGGTTAGGCTGCGCGTCCATCGCAAGTTGTCGGTTAGGCTCAAAAAGAGCTACTTCTGGCGCAGCTGATGATGATTGCGATGATGATTGGATTGGTGCATTGTGTCAGTCGCCGCCGCAGCCGTCGCATAATTTGTTGCCTTTGTTGTTTTTGTTCATCAGCGCACGATGAATAATTTACACATGATGATAATGATGATGATGATGACATCTGGCGGCGGCAATAACAAACACAGACGCATACACAATGACTGAGAAAACGGCGTGCAACCTGCTCCTAACACCTTACATCTGCTGCTTTCTCCTCTGGGCGAGACGCATCTGTCCCCTGAAAACCGCATAGGAATCACTTGTGTGTGTTCGGATCGAGTCTGAATCTCCCTCACAAAAAAATGTATGTATATATATATATATGGTGGCGGTATATATGTATATATAAACTACTTTTGAGCGGACGGGCTACTCGGCACAAGACAAATCAGGACGAAACAAACAAGAAAACAAAAGAAAACCAAGCAACTCCAACACTACAACATAATTTATAATTAGCCAAGCGTAAATTAAAAGCCAGAATAATCTTAAATAGGCACTGAAGCAGAGCGAAGCGAATATAGCAACCATAACTCCAAACAGGTAATTGCTTGAAATGGGAAGTAGAAGCCGACAAAACACCTAAACAAGAAGCAATATTATGTCTAAAAAAAACCTCAAAACGAAAGCGAAGATAAACAACAAATGAAATAGAATCGAGTCTATAGAGTAAAAAGGTAAAAGCGAAAGATCACATAAAAAACAACAACACCAAGTCAACATAGTATACTCAATTGCAATACAGAAAAAAAGCTAATTACAAATATATACAAATTATACAGATATATATATATATATCTAATTATAAATATATAGTATATATACATCAATTAGAGTATATAAAAAAGATTTGTATATTTACAACCAACAACAAACTACAACAACCAACAACAACTACAAACAACAACAACAACAACAACAAGAAGAATAAGAAGAAGTATGTGAATACGAACGAAGAATCATGATGATAAAATGATTATTTCAAGGACAACAACCAAAATGCGAGTCAAAGTCGAACCGAACCGAAGGCGAGGAGCCGGAAACGGAAATGCAACAAACCCAAAAGCGGAAGGCAGTCGACATTTAGCTATTAAAAAAAAGAAACACCGCATCCGAAATATTTATTTCCATTTAAAACAAAACAAACAAAAAGCGCATACATTTTCATTTAAAATGTTTGCCCATTTTTCGTTTCCCCGTTTTGTTTTCCGTTTTCGCTTTCGTTTTGTTGTTTTGTTGGATTGCAGCTCGGGAAATTCCCACTCGTTGAAAGGTATTTTTTTTATCACACATTATTTACACCAATCGCCAACGGCCACGCCCACGCAAGAACACGCCTCCCATCTAAAAAGGAAATTGCTAAAACAAACAACAAATTATACATAAAACAACATAAAAACCATTAAGTAAAAACGAAGGGAAAAATCGTAGTTAAAGCAACAAAATAAAATTGTATTTATATTTATTTTAATAATTTGCGAAAGCTTCAAATGGCATCATATTGTGTTTTTAGATTAACCAATTTTTTTATGTACCATCTACAATTACATCTTACAAGGTATATATATATTCATATATATGCAATATACTACATATATAATTTATTTGGAAAATGCGAACACTTGTTTGTTATTTAAGCAGGAAACACACAAAATGGAAGGCGGAAGCATCAGTTGAAAGTTATTAAGATCGATAGCGGGGGATAACCAGAGGGAACTAACACACACATACACACACACACACATGTGCGTTATGCATGTGTACTTTTGAGTTTTTTTTTTAACTTAATCTTAACTTGTCTAAAAAAACATCAAACAAAACATAATAATTAAAAATAGAGCGCTGCGAATTACGACGCAGGTGCGAAACAAAAAGAAAGCAAACAACAGTTTAATAATGATAATGCTAATAACTATTGTAGATATATACATATAAATAATATATATAATAAATATATTAGCTAAGCGTCAAAACAACAAAAAAAAAAAAACAAAAACCAACCGAAAAATAGAAACTTTTATTATGAATTAATTAAAAATACAACAACAGAACTATGCTCTTTTAATGGGACTTAAAAAAAAACTATGATTTAATTCAGTTTTAAAGCAATGGTAAAAATATAGTATTCTATGTATATATATTTTTATATTGATCTTAAAAATTTGCAATCTTTAATTAAAAAATATCCGATAGTTAATGATATATGAAGGTATATGTGCAATATATATTTCGGAGTAATATATATATATTTGGATATAGAAACAATTTAAAATAAAATCCGGATAATTTTCGATGGTATTAATATTTATACCCCATGCAGGGTATCATAATTTTAGTCAGAAGCCTAAAAGAAAGTGAAGCAGTCATTTCCGACCCTATAAATTATATATATTCTTGATCAGCATCAACAGGCGAATCTTTCTAGCCATCTCCAGCAAAAAAATTTTTTTTGTTCAAAAATTTTAAATTTTTTCGTTAAATTTTTTAAAAATTTGACAAAAATGACAAATTTTTTAAAATTTTTTATGGAATATGCAGATTTATTACACTAATAAAAACTAACATAAAGCCGTTTTCCGAATTAAAATTAATGCATTTTTGACGTAGTTATGAGCATTTTAAATCTATGATTTATAGAAAAAATTATCATATAAAAATGATTAAAAATCGTATCTTATTTATTATTAATATTTATGAATCCTTTTCTAATTTTTATTTATATCAAGTTATATTTATTTCTTTAAAAAACAAATGCCATAGTGAATTTTAAATTCAAATTCAAATTCAATAACCGTTTCTTTCCGAGAAAGCTTTGGCGGTCTTTCTCTTCAAATTCCGTTTTACCGGCGCCGGCTTTTTGTTCTCAGAGAAAGAGAGTAATTTTGTGCAGAGAAAGCTTCGTGCAATGAAGAGCTTGCCGAAAACCCAACAGACATAAAGTTTGCAACTCGGCGAATTCGCCGGAATGAACTCGAAAATGAACTTGGCAGGGCCAAGGGGAAGGGTGGGGGGGGGGAGAATCGCGAATGGCTGCGCCTGTGTGCGAGCGCATATCCGTGTGTTGTTATCCCTTGTTTTCTTTTTCCTTTCGTTCTTGGAACTTACCCTGGCATCTCTCCGCTGGACGACGAGAAAAGCCAACAAGTAGCAGTTCAGCATTCGAAGCGTTCAATTGCCAGCGGACAGAGCGTAGCGGTGAAAGCGCGGCTTTGGCTTCGAAAAAGCCGAGTATTTTAAATCGTTGAAGAACTAACGGATTAATAAGTTTACAGTTTTTCGTAATTTTATCTAAGCTTTTTTTTTGGCACGTGTTAAAGTGAAATAAATCAGTGTGTGGCGGCGAAGCGAACAATAGACACGTGCAATTACAGAACAGAAGAGAACAATAAGGAAAGGAATCTAAAGTAAAAGTAAAGTGAGTACAAATATTAAAATAATACAATTAATTATTTACTAATGCATCAAATTATGTATTTGTAAGTTGTGTTAAAGTGAAATAAATAAGTGTGTGGCGGCGAAGCGAACAATAAACACGTGCAAGTACAGAACAGAAGAGAACGAAAAGGAAAGGAATCTGAAGTAAAAGTAAAGTGAGTACAAACATTAAAATAATACAATTAATTATTTACTAATGCATTAAATTATATATTTGTAAGTTGTGTTAAAGTGAAATAAATAAGTGTGTGGCGGCGAAGCGAACAATAAACACGTGCAAGTACAGAACAGAAGAGAACGAAAAGGAAAGGAATCAGAAATAAAAGTAAAGTGAGTACAAACATTAAAATAATACAATTATTTATTTACTAAAGTATCAAATTATATATTTGTAAGTTGTAAGTGTATAAGCGTAACTATATCTCTACTTAAAATGTGTTTCAAGTTGCTTACAATTAATGGTTTCTTATGGATCTGTTTGAGACTTCAAAAATAGTTTCTTAGTGAAAAAAAAAATAGATTGTTAATGAGCTTAATACACAATCAGTAGTAAAAGCTTTGAATAATACTACTAATATACTACTATATATAAAACGGGCACACATTAAAAGTACTTTTTTTAGTAGTTGCTTAGGGAAAGCTACCAAATCTCAATATTTGTAATAGAACATATAAGAATGCTTCTTCTTCTTGAGTTTACTACCAAATATAATGCTTTTAATTTGCTATTCCATAAATAAATATAAATAATGTATTTGTAAAATTTAGTTTCCAAAGAAAGAAGTTTATATACCTTAAATTTGACATTTTAACCTGATTTCAAGATCAAAAATTGAATCTAAAATTTAAAATGTAGGGAATTTTATGAAAAAGAAACAATCCTATAACTAAGAGCTTAAAGTTAACATACTTATGATTTTTTGAGTGTACTTATTCTAGAATATCAGAAAATTAAATTTTATTGGAAACAAAAATAAATATAAATAAAGCTGAGTTGCGGAAACACAGAAATTTTAAAGGTTAGAAAACAGAAATATTTGTATATAAATAAATACCAAATTTATAGTGTTTTCTTTATGAGCATATATTTTTTTTAAGTGTGATTTAAATAGTTTCAAGTCGAAAGGTTTTCAAGAAGACATATTTATGGCTTAATACATATTTTTAAATGTATATAAATCAATTTTATTATTATTATTATTTTTTTAATTTATAAATCTTATTTTAAAACATCTTACATACTTGTATATAAATTAATACTTATTATATTTGCTTAACAATTAATATTTAGATTTCTCTTTATAAAAGTCTTTAAATAATTTCGAAGCCAAACAAACTTTCTGTGCTATTTGATATTCATGTCTTTGTATATATTTTTGAATTTAATAAATTTCTTTTTCTATTTCTATTTCTTTATGAATTTTTGAATTGATAAATAATATTTTAAAATATATACTAGTATTTAAATGAATATTTATTATATTTGCTTAACAATTAATATTTATTTATGTAGATTTCTTTTTATAAATGTTTTCAAATAATTTCCAAACCAAACAAACTTTCTGCTCTATTTGATATTTTGATATTCATGTCTTTGTATATATTTTTAAATTAAAAAAAAAAAACAATTTTTTATGAATTTTTCGAATTGATAAATATTATTTTGAAATAATTTATATACTAGTATTTAAATTAATATTCATCGCATTTAATTAACAATTCTTGCTTAGATTTCTCTTTATAAAAGTCTTTAAGTAATTTCAAAACCAAACAAACTTTCTGCGCTATTTGATATTTTGAAAATTACTTGTACTTTTTGGCACTAATAATATCCTTGATCCTTTTTTGGAAAATTGCTGGAATGCCTTTAAAGTGAATATATAGCGGGAATTTAAATGGTATGGCCAAAAGAGTTGGTAGTATTGGTGCTGGAAGATGCATTGTGCGCGCAATGGAATGCCAAGAGTCGTGAGTCAAGAGCCATAAATTTGACGCCGCCATGTCCTTTTGGCATCCAGCAGCAAACAAAATGCGTCGATGGTCGCCAAAGTGGGTGAAGCGAAGGATCCTTCGATGGGGGAAAATCGAGATGGAATGGGGACAAAATTATATATATATAGAGAGTGAAATTGCAGGGGGGCGACGGCTCCAAGCTGATGCGGTCATTTAAGTGCCAGCAAGAGAAATGTGCAGCAAACAAAACTAATAATATTATTTTCATTATTAATCTTGAGCTATTATTTGTCTTCGCCGAAGAGGGGTCCTTGCCGAGGGTCCTCAAGTTCTTCAATGTTTTCTTTTCAACAAAAAAAGTCAACTGCTTAAGTAGTTGTGGAGTGAAAGTCAGGGTTGGATTTTAATAAATAATATAAATATAAATATAGAAAGGGATTGCATTTTCTTTTAGTTCAAGATAATGTTTACTTTGTTAAGCAGGTATAAATTCGGACTTGGGAGTTTATAGAGCATTTTTGGAAACAATATATAAAATATCGAACTGCTAAATAGATTCTATAAGTAAATAAAAGTTTATAATAGGTGTTAGCCATTAAACTAATTTTTATACTATTGCAGGGTATTAAACTTTCAGTCAGAAGCTTTAAAGAGAGTGAAGGAATCATTTCCGACCCTATAAAGCATATAGATTCTTGATCAGCATCAACAGGAGAGTCGATCTAGCTATTTCTGGCAAAAATTTAATTTTTTCAAAATTTTAAAAATTTTATAATGTAAAAATTAAAAAAAATTGATAAAAATCTGAATTTTTTTACATTTTAAATTGAGGTAGCAGATTTATTGTCTTACTAAAAATTAACATGGGTTCGCTTTCCAAATTAAAATTAATCTGTTTTTGGCTTAGTTATGAGATTTTTAAATATTGATATGTCGAAAAAATTTGCATATAAAAATATAGTTAATATCGGTTAAAAAATGGTAATGCACCTTCAGTCAAAAGCTTAAAAGAAGGTGAAGGAGTCATTTCCGACCCTATAAACTATATAGATTCTTGATCAGCATCAACAGGAGATTCGATCTAGATATGCCCGGCAAAAATTTAATTTTTTCAAAATTTTAAAAATTTTATAAGGGGTTACATCGTAAAAATTTTTAAAAATTGATAAAAATCTGAATTTTTTTACATTTTAAATTGAGTAAGCAGATTTGTTACCCCAATAATAACTAACATAAAGCCGCTTTTCGAATCAAATTTAATGCTTTTTTGGGCTAGTTATGAGAATTTTAAATCTATGATTTATAGACAAAATTATCTTATAAAATATAGATAATTATAGACTCAAAGAATGGTATTCTAATTTTAGTCTGAAGCCTCAAACTAAGTGAAGGAATCATTTTAGACCCTATAAACTATATAGATTCTTGATCAGCATCAACAGGAGATTCGATCTAGCTATGTCCGGCTAAAATTTAATTTTTCCAGAATTTTGAAAATTTTATAAGGGGTTACATCGTAAAAATTTAAAAAAATTGATAAAAATCTGAATTTTTTTACATTTTTAATTAAGTAAGCAGATTTATTGTACTACTAAAAATTAACATGGGTCCGCTTTCCAAATTAAAATTAATCCGTTTTTGGCTGAGTTATGAGTTTTTTAAACTTTGATTTGTTGACAAAATTTTCATATGAAAATAGCAAAGGGCATATTTTAAGCTTTGTTATGATCTATTTCAGATTTAATCCTATAATTACTTTCATATATAAATTGTTGTATATATATTAGTTTGTTTTGGCTTTAAATATTTATTTTCCTTTATATTCCTTTTCAATTTCTTAAGATTTTGCATGACATCAATTAGAGGTCTAAGCCCAGCTTTTACCACAAAAGTTGAGGAGGCGTCGACCGCAGTTTCTAATTGGTTTAATCAAGTTTCCCCTTTGACCTTGCCTCGCTTTCTTGGCCTAAACAAAGAATAGGAAAATAGGAAAATAGGAAAGGGAATGAAAATGGAGAGGGGGAGTGGGGACTTCTATTCAAATTATGTGCAAGTATTTCATTTTCATTTGTGACTTTTTGGCTTTTGTTGTGTTGATTTACATAGATTCTGGCTTAGCCGGATTCCTCTTTATGGCCAAAACAGTTGGCAGCATTGTGGTCAAAATATTGGCTTTGCCAAGAGGAGGGAGACGAGGGGGAGGGTACTTTGGTGTCGTGCTTGACAAACATTTTCATTTTCGTTTTGTATTTTTTATTATTTTTATTTATTTTTTGTTCTTATTGTTCTTGTTTGGGCAACTGCACTCAATTTTATAGCCTCTCGCATTTTATTTAGTTGCCTACATATATATACATTTTTTTGTTGTTGTCGTATTTCCTCGAAATGGTGGGAAAGTTTCGATGGCTCCCTGACTGGGAATTTCCCTGTTATAATTTCATTTGCCGGCCCCTGACTCTGCCTACATTTACATTTTTATTTCCTCCCGGACACCGCACTCACAAAAAATAATAATAATAATGAAAATCTAAGAGAAAAAATGATTTTCTACTTGTTTTATGACTTTTGGCATAATGTATTTCTCTGATTTCTGCATTTAAGACTAGAAAAGCTAGGAATATTCTTCGTTTTTCTTTAAAAAGATCAAGAAAATCCAAAGTGGAAAGTGTAAGTGTGTTTTCCTCTCACCTCTCCTACATTTTTCACGTGTGTTTTATGAGGGTTTAGTCCGACTTTTCTCCCTTCTATATATAAGGAAAAAGGAAACACCAAAAACTGGTCAGAAAAGAATCAAAAGAAATGTCCATGAAATCGTAAACATTTGGCTTTGATTTTCCCTTTCCCATTAGAAGTGTGACTTTTCTTTATAGTCGGTCTGGTGTTTTGCCACAGATGTTGCTTGGGATTTAAAAAACAAAATAAAAAAATGAGAAGAAAAAACAAATCTACTAAGCTGGATAAGTGGGAATTAACTGGCTTTGAATACTCTATCTTGGCAAAGTAGAAAGGCATATCCGACATACCCTAACATAGATGGTTTCCGTTGGGTTTATAATATATACTTTAATTACTAGCTTTAAGGGAACCTAAAAGTTATATAGCAATAATATGGTATATACAAATTGTACATAATAAATTATAAATAATAATCTAGAGATGTGTAGGATCATATTTTTTATTTTATTAAAATGTATGTCTTCTAGAAAAGGTTTTTAAATACTTAAGAAAAGTGTCTGAACTGAGCAATAAATAGTTTCAGGCTAACAAATGTTTAAATTTGGGGATAATAATCTATAAGTATGTAGTATAATATTTTATATTTTACCAAAATATATATCTTTTAGAAAGGGTTTTTAAATATCTAAAAAAAAGGTGCC